TCCGTCGACTGCTGACCCGTCGCTGTTTTTGCGCACCGACACTTCGCTGCTGCCGTTCTACGTTCTCGTGTACGTCGACGACTTGGTCTTTGCCACTGCTGACACTGAGGCTCTCGCCCTGGTGAAGTCGGAGCTGCAGAAGAGACACACGTGCACAGACCTGGGTGAACTGCGCAGCTACCTTGGCTTGCAGATCACCTGGGACAGAGCACGCCGCACCATCACACTGACTCAGTCACACATGGTGCAGCAGGTCCTTCAGCGCTTCGGTTTCACCTGGTCCTCAGCACAGGCCACTCCTCTGGCTACAGGTCACTCGCTCTCAGCTCCACCTTCGGACGAGTCCGTAGAGCCGAGTGGTCCTTACCCAGAGTTAGTGGGCTGCCTCATGTACCTGATGACTTGCACTCGTCCTGACCTTGCGTACCCTCTTGGCCTTCTGGCTCGTTACGTGGCTCCTGGTCGGCACCGAAAGGTGCACATGGATGCTGCCAAGAGGGTACTACGCTACTTGTGCAGTACATCGGGCATGGGGCTCGTGCTTGGAGGACGGGGTGACGTTGTCCTCAAAGGTCACTCTGACGCCTCTTGGGTTGACGACCAGGCTACGCAGCGGTCGTCACAGGGTTACACCTTCAGCCTTGGTTCTGGTTCAGTTTCCTGGCGTTCTACACGTTCGTCTTCAGTTCTCAGCTCCAGCTGTGAGGCAGAGATCTACGCCACAGCCATGGCTGCACAGGAGCTGCGCTGGCTCACCTACCTGCTGACTGACTTGGGAGAGGGGCCTCGTTCTCCTCCAGTTCTGTACGTCGACAACAAGGCCGCCATTGCCTTGTGTCAGGAGCACAGACTGGAGCACAGAACAAAGCACATCGCTCTCCGTTACTTTCTTGCTCGAGAGCTGCAGCAGCGTGGCCAGCTTCGTCTTACCTACGTGGCCACTCGGGCCAACAATGCTGATATATTCACCAAGGCGCTTCCGCCTGGTGATCATCAGCGTTTCTGCACTTTGTTAGGCCTTGTGCCCACACTTCCTCACTTGCTGTAGGCTTTGTTTGTACCATGATTTATATGTATTCCTGCATGCTTGTTCTTGTTGGTAGATATCACCGTACTGTTGTTGTTACATATATATTTCTGCATGTGAACAGCAAGCAGGATATAACTGAAAGATAACTTTGACAAATACATACATACAACATTGTACTAAAAAGCGTTCCTGCTTTTCACATGAAATTTCTGTTCTAAGATTGCTGGTATTGTCTATTTCGCCTTACATTTCGTCGTTTAGATGCTGTGCACCAGGAATTCTTTAGATGCTTATTATTTGTTTGGAACAACCTTCACAATGTTTAGATGCTTCGCAAGCTGCATGTTGTCCCCGTGCAAAAAAATCGAGAACGACATAACAAAGGCTGAGCCTGGCCAGTTACACCAACCCTCCCCGCAAAAATCGGCTGTTTTGAACTACGTTAGGCTGCTCGGTCCTTTGAGCAAGACCATTCCCCTGCGTCTGACGATAGAGCCGTTTGGAGTGTCAATATGAAAAACTACGCTGATATGAGAAGCTACGCTCATACGATAAATGTTAGAGTGCCCTACCGACGCCGCTGTTTGGGGGCTCTTCGCTGGGTCTAAAGGGCGGCGGCGGCGGCGGCTGGGGGGTGGGATTATGAAGGGGAGGCAGAGATGAAGGACGCTGGCAGCATGTGCGGCGCTGGTGCTGGCGGCGTGCGCGATCAGTGTGCGCGGTGCTGGTGCTGGCGGCGTGCCCGATCATGGCGCGCGCGACCAGCGTGTGCGGTACTAGTGACGAAGGGTGCTGGTGGCATGCGAGGTCATCGACAAAGTGGACGAGTAGCTGAGATTCTTGAGGCGCCTCAAAAGTCGACACTGTTAGAATATATCTGTAACTGCCTGTAGCTGTAGTTAGTAAAGTTATTATAATCCTGCTAGGTGGTGTACCATTTGCCTAATTCCTTGCCTATATCTTGTATGCCCTCTACTATTGAACCCCTCTTTGCCTAAACTCCCTCGTCTCCCTTTGGCCTAGGCTACTAAGCCTAGGCCCTACCATTCCTACTCTTACTTTCAACATGGTATTCAGAGCAGGCATCTTCCTGCTGCCTTCCTTAACGGGCCCACCAGTTTGCTTCCACTGCCTGTCGTCCTGTCGCGCGCCTCGGGCGCGCGGCGATTTTCTGCCCGCCGTGTGCTCGGGGCGCACGGCGGTTTTCTGCCCGCCGTGCGCCCCGGGCGCGCGGCGTCTGCCTGCCTGCCTGCCTGCCTGCCTGCCCGTCGTGCGCCCCGTGGCGCGCGACGGTGCCCTGAGCCGCCGCGGACCCGCCCCTGGCGCCCGCGACGGTGCCTTGAGCCGCCGCGGACCCGCCCCTGGCGCCCGCGACGGTGCCTTGAGCCGCCGCGGACCCGCCCCTGGCGCCCGTGACGGTGGCCTGAGCCGCCGCGGACCCGCCCCTGGCGCCCGCGACGGTGCCCTGAGACGCCGCGGACCCGCCCCTGGCGCCCGCGACGGTGCCTTGAGCCGCCGCGGACCCGCCCCTGGCGCCCGCGACGGTGCCCTGAGCCGCTGCGGACCTGCCCCTGGCGCCCGCGACGGCGCCTCTGCCTCACCTCGCGCCTGCCTTCGAGCAGCCGCCCCTGACTCACCCGCGTCTGCCCTCGGAGCAGCCGCCCCTGCCTCACCCGCGCCAGCCGCCCCTGGCCCCTGGAGCAGCCGCCCCTTGTGCAGCCGCCCCTGGACCCCGCGACGCCGCCTCCCTGTGCTGCCCGTTGCTGCTCTCCCCCCCCCCCCCCTCCCCCCCCCCCCCCCCCCCCCCCCCCCCCTTCTTCGTCTCACTGCTGCGCGTGCAGCCGTGGAACGGAGGGTATGGGGGTGGCGGGTATGGGGGTGATGGGTGGTGTGTTTCCCTTCCCCTCCTCCTCCTTTCGTTCCCACTGCTGCAGCTGCCGCTGGGGGGAGGGTGTGAGGATGTGGGGGAGCCAGGGGAGTGGCATTGGGGTGGCGGGTGTGAGACCAATCAGCCCCCGTCCCTCTGAGGGGGGAGGGGGGGGAGGAGAGTCAAGGGGTTGCAGGAGTGCCTGCCCCTTTGCTGCTGTACCTGCTTTGTTACCTTGCCGGCTGTTGCTGTTTTCTCTGTTCGTGGTGTACCCATCCAGGATGTGTCGCTGCACAGACTCCTGCTGCAGGCAGTTATGGGGGAGTGTTAGAATATATCTGTAACTGCCTGTAGCTGTAGTTAGTGTAGTTATTATAATCCTGCTAGGTGGTGTACCATTTGCCTAATTCCTTGCCTATATCTTGTATGCCCTCTACTATTGAACCCCTCTTTGCCTAAACTCCCTCGTCTCCCTTTGGCCTAGGCTACTAAGCCTAGGCCCTACCATTCCTACTCTTGCTTTCAACAGACACAGTGGACGAGTTGCTGGGATTCTTGAGGCGCCTCAACAGTCGACACAGTGGACGAGTTGCTGGGATTCTTGAGGCGCCTCAAGAGTCGACACAGTGGACGAGTTGCTGGGATTCTTGAGGCGCCTCAAGAGTCGACACAGTGGACGAGTTGCTGGGATTCTTGAGGCGCCTCAAGAGTCGACACAGTGGACGAGTTGCTGGGATTCTTGAGGCGCCTCAAGAGTCGACACAGTGGACGAGTTGCTGGGATTCTTGAGGCGCCTCAAGAGTCGACACAGTTGACGAGTTGCTGGGATTCTTGAGGCGCCTCAAGGGTCGACACAGTTGACGAGCTGCTGGGATTCTTGAGGCGCCTCAAGAGTCGACACAGTGGACGAGTTGCTGGGATTCTTGAGGCGCCTCAAGAGTCGACACAGTTGACGAGTTGCTGGGATTCTTGAGGCGCCTCAAGAGTCGACACAGTGGACGAGTTGCTGGGATTCTTGAGGCACCTCAAAAGTCGACACAGTCGACGAGTTGCTGGGATTCTTGAGGCGCCTCAAAAGTCGACACAGTGGACGAGTTGCTGGGATTCTTGAGGCGCCTCAAAAGTCGATACAGTGGACGAGTTGCTGGGATTCGGCGGGGCGCGACGGGCGGCTGGATTGGTGCGATGCGTGCCGCAAATCATCCCCATGTAGACGGAAGGGGAATGACAATGAACTGTGGGGAAGGGTGAGGAACGGTAGGGAATGGTGGGGAATGTGCGACGGACGGCTGGACAGGTGTGATGTGTGCCGCAGGTCATCCCAGGTAGGCGGAAGGGAAGTGACAAGGAACGGAGGGAAGAAATGGTGGAGCATGGCAGGTAATGGTGAGGATTGTGGAACGGGTGGGATGTGTGCCGCACCGCAATGATTCCAGGTATGTGCAAGGGGAGTGGGTGGGGGATAGGAAGGAAGGGAGGGGAAGGGTGGGGAAGAGTGGGAAAATTTAGGCCCTCCCTTTTCCCCCCCTCTTATTGAACCTGCACCGCAATTGCATATGAACTGCCTTTATTACATGGGAGTTTGCATACATGGCTCCCTACCCTTACTGGAACCAAAGTAGTATCCATGGAATAGACGACAACCTACGCGCTTGACTTTGTGGTAAATAAGAGCAAAAAGAGCAACGCCAATGACACATGGCAAATACACTACACCAAGGCCCACGTTCCAGAAGCACTGTATCTATGACATGGGAGACAATAAGCAGACCTAGACTACAAATTGCTGATGAGAGCGATGCCAATGATGGTGCGTTCAATACACTACATCGGGGTCCACGTGCCGTTATTCCTGCCCCTTGCCAGAAGCAGCCCTGTACCCATGGCATGGGTGACAAAAAGCAGACTCGACTACAAACTGCTGATGAGACGACGCCCAATGATGGCATGTTCATCATGACACTACATCGGGGTCCACGTGCCGTTATTCCTGCCCCTTGCCGGAAGCAGGGCTGTATCCATGGCACGGGAGACAAAAAGCAGACTCAGCAACATAATGCTGACAAGGCAGCGGCGGCCAATGATGGCGTGTTCATGATGACTCTACACCGGGGTCCACGTGCCGGTGTTCCTGACCCTGGATGGGAGCAGCACGGTATCGACCGCGTGGACGACAATCGATGGGCTCGAGTACATGTTGCCGATCAGAACACGCGCGCCCTCTGTGTCCTCCATCCTGTATAACTTCAGCCAGTAGTCCGTCTGATTCTTCTTCAGCGGTAGTTTGTCGAGGGTTTCCAACTGCAATGATTATAAAGGGTATAGAGAAGGATTACAAGAGGGGATGAGTGTATGGAGGATGTGGTTGGGGATGAGGAGAGGCGGGAATTCAGGTAAGGATGAGGTGAGAGGTGTAGGAATTGGTGTTTGTACGGGGAAGGATATTGCTTTTCAATTTTACCTGAAACCCATTCCCAAGGGCCTTGATGTCGTCTAGTTCCATCCGACGTGGCAGCACGTGATAAGCCATCACCTGCCAGAGAATGCTCTTCTTCCGTTGCAGTCCACCAAAGCGCGTGTTCTTGGGCATGCGGAAATAGGCTCCATTGGTTGGCGCAAAGATCGTAACGTTCTTGGTGAGGAGTGTATTCATCAGCGTCTCATTCATACCTGTAAACATGGAACAATGTGCAGGGTCAAAGATGAATACAATCAGTTACACAAGCGCAGAAAAACATTATTTGTAGGCACATGAAAGTGCACTACTGAAAAGGATTGTAGAGAAGATGAAGGGCAACTCACCGCTCATTCGGATGCCCGTTGCAACCCCCGTGAATTTCCGCTCGTACAGAAACGACAGAACCTCGTTCACTTTCGCCAGCGTTGCCTCCTGCTCCGCTGTCAGGATAGGACCCGGCGCTCCGCCCGGCGCTCCGCCTGAACCTCCGCTTGACCCTCCGCCTGACCCTCCGCCTGACCCTCCGCCTGACCCTCCACCTGACCCTCCGCCTGACCCTCCGCCTGACCCTCCGCCTGACCCTCCGCCTGACCCTCCGCCTGACGCTCCGCCTCCGGAGCCCGCTCCCCCTCCATTCTGGCTCCCCCCTCCACCGCTCGCTTGCCCTCCGCTGCCGGTCTGACTCCCCGTCCCGCTTCCCGTCCCACTCCCCGTCCCACTCCCCGTCCCACTCCCCGTTCCCCCACCAGTTTTCCCTCCGCTCCCCGTCCCACTTCCCCCTCCGCTCCCCCCTCCGTGGATCACATCTCCGCCATCCCCTGAGGATTTCCCGGATTTAGATCCAGCGTCCATTCCCGAACCAGTTCCCGAACCAGTTCCCAAGCCTCCACCCGTGCCAGTTCCTTTCCCCGAGCCAGATCCGGAGCCCCTTGAGTTCCCCCCCCCTTTCCCCTTCCCCTTGCCTCCACTGCTTCCCTTTCCCGTTCCCGTAATTCCCCCCGCGCCTGTCCCCGTACCCCCCCCCGCGCCTGCCCCCGTACCCCCCCCGGCGCCTGTCCCCGCACCTCCCCCCGCGCCTGTCCCTGTACCTTTCCCCGCGCCTGTTCCCGTGCCAGTCCCCGTACCTGTTCCCGCGCCGGTACCCGTACCTTTCCCTGCACCTGTCCCCGTACCTTTCCCCGTACCTGTTCCTGTCCCCGCGCCTGTCCCCGTACCTTTCCCCGTGCCTGTTCCTGTCCCCGCGCCTGTCCCCGTACCTTTCCCAGTGCCCGTCCCCGTACCCTTCCCCGCACCAGTACCCGTTCCTTTTCCCCCTCCTGTCCCCGTACCTTTCCCCGCTCCTGTCCCTGTACCCTTCCCCGCGTCTGTTCCCGTACCCTTCCCCGCGCCCGTTCCCGTACCCTTCCCCGCGCCCGTTCCCGTACCCTTCCCCGCGCCCGTTCCCGTACCCTTCCCCGCGCCCGTTCCCGTACCCTTCCCCGCGCCCGTTCCCGTACCCTTCCCCGTACCCGTTCCCGTACCCTTCCCCGCACCCGTTCCCGTACCCTTCCCCGCACCCGTTCCCGTACCTTTCCCCGCACCTGCCCCAGTACTTTTCCCCGCGCCGGACCCAATTTCCGGCACCTTCCGATCTCCGGTTCCCGTTCCTTTGCTCCCGCCGGTCCCCGCACCCGTCCCCGCGCCCTTGCCTGTGCCGACACCCGTCCCAGCGCTGGTTGATTTTCCGGTCCCGGAAGATTTCCCCGTGCCGGCCGTTGTCGTCATCGCCATGAGATTGATCGTGCGATCAGAGCCGTCGGTGGCAGACGCCGTTTTTACGGATAGCGGGGAACCACCACTGCCGATGTCCGGTGCTACACCGAGGTCGGTGCTCACGCCGAACGATGTGCTCTCATCGGGGAGTTGACCCGCCGCAGAGGCGGAAAGCCACGGCGATTCGACGATGGCGACCAGCAGGAGGAGCGGGAGCAGGGCTGACGGGGTCAGCAGGGTTAGGCCGAGTGGGGCTACGGCGGAATGAGGAACGTGGGATGACATGCGCCGCGATCGCGCCGACGCCATGGCTGAGGCTGTCATCGAGCTGATGATGCGCTGCGCCGTCGCCGGTTACGGGCAGCGTCGCCGGTTACGGGCAGCGTAACGAAGATTTTGTTGAGTCTCACTAACCCGTTCACGTAGAATTTTCAGTGGGAGGAACTACTGGCGCGAGAAGGAAATTCGTGCCGAAGGTCTGATTCACCGTCGAGACGAGCTTCAATTATGCAAACGCCGAGATGGAGAGTAGCATTCAAGAACCCCAGGGGAATCCTATCTACACCCTCGTGCAGCTCGCGAGCAGATATGACAAACGAGTGACGTTTGATACGTGATACGTGGAGCGCGCTGACGATGTCTGGTCGAGCACCGACTAGATTTAATGAAAGGAAACGATGTCTGCGGAGAGTTGAAGAGAGCGCCTCAGGTCGCAAGAGTGGTCTGTTGGTAAAAAGCATCGAAATCAAACATCGTGAAGTCCTCGGTGTTTATGATATGTTGCGGCCGGGTGGGAGCACTGGAACCTATTCGTGAGTCGAGACCTAGTGGGCCCTATTTTGCGTTTTGGAACACCGCACCGACAAAGACAGATGTCAATATCGACGAAGCCAAGCAATGCAGAGGCATGCTGGGCAGGAAGAATGGGGGGAGGGGAGGAAAGGGTGACCTGGGTAAATTTGAGAGTGGAAGAGTGGGGTTGGTGGGAGGAAGGGATTAGCGGCAGAATCCAGATTTCCAATGTCGAAAGGTTTTCTCCGACCGCGGGCGACTCGCCACACTTCGCTAACGAGTGTGGGCTTGGTGGCTGGATGCGTTTTTGCCACTGATTCCCCCACAACACCAGCTCCCTGATTGCTGGGCAGCGAGTTGCCGCAATGTGGCCGACGCGTGGGTATCATGCGACTCGGAATTCAAACTGTTTGAACGAACATCTGAAATGTCGGAGATTTTTCGGCAGCTTGGCTTCAGCTTGGCTTCAGGTGTATCTCTGAGACAGCTGTACTGCCGACTTACAAACTGGGGTACACGTGGACCTTACAGACACCAAAAGGGGCCAGCATTCTGCTGACGAGGTAATGTACTCTCCATTCAGTGCCTCATATTAGAGCAGGAATCATGGTTTACAGTTTCCGTGATACATGGTGAAAATAGCACGTGTTGTACGTTTTTACAGAGTAGCCGAAATGATTCACGTAGCTATCGATTTTTTCAGCTTAAATTGATAGTCAAATATATAAATAAAAGGCATAAAGTATTATTCTAACAAAAACACAGAAAATATCTGCACCAATAATAACAAAATATAATATAATAAAAAAAGGCAAAGTTTGTTTTTGTAAACCCATTTCCATGTTGACTTGTTCTACTATTTCTGGTATTGTCCACTTCTATTGAAAGCCTATGATTTCCTCGCTCAAGTGTTATGTGCTATGCCAGCTGTTCGCTGTCCCATGCAGAAAACGGAGGACGACACAACCGAGGTAAGGATTGTAGTTTCCTGCCAGCTCTACCAATTCTCCCCGCAAAAAGCGGCTGTTTCGAACTAGGTTGGCCCACTCGGCACCTCGAGATCACACTCACGTGTCTCACGCGGCGTTTAGATTCCATCGCGGCGCGTCGAGCAGGAGAAACCAATCTCATATGAATAGCCGAGGAATCGATGTGAGGTGCTTTGAAACCTCTCGAGATCCTCATTCTTCGCCTGGTTTTTGTTGTTCTGTCCTCTCAGAAGTCGAAGTTCGTGTATATCTGAGGGAAGAAAAGATCGTGAGTTCATGTACGCCAATGCCTTCCCCTCTCCGGTTCGGAATCGCAGTCGATCTTCGCTAGAAGACAGAGGAAGCCGAAACTCGCTGCAAGAGTTCTCGTTAGAAGCAACAGACCTCAAACCAGCACCATCATCTCCCGCACCTGCGAACTCCAATCCTTCTTCGTCCTCCTCCGCTGCTGCCGCCGGTGCCGCGGCCGCGGTCTCAGCCCTCATCCCCGCAGCAGGCGGCATTTTCTCACGCTTAAGCATGTTCCGTTCTAGTCCGGTATCGGGCGGCAGGTACGTATCTCAAGTCCGACCCGAGCCGCGCGTCGGAAAGGACGGCGGCAGCGACATCGACGAAGGCGACTCCGTCCACGACGAAGCTTCATCGCTGCTTCGCTCGGACGCGAGACCGTTTCCTACGTCCGTCGGTGTTGCTTGGGGCATCTTCGGCGGGTCTTACGGCGGCGGGAGCGGGGGCGGGTTTAGGAAGGGGAATCGGAGACTAAGGACGCTGGCGGCGTGCGCGGCGCTGGTGGTGGCGGCGCTAGTGCTGGCGGCGTGCGCAGTCGTCGACGTGGCGGACGCGTGGCTGGGATTCGGAGAGACACGACGGGCGGCTGGACTGGAACGATGTGTCCCGCAGGACATCCCAGGTAGGTGCAAGGGGCTTGGCGGGGAACGGTGGGGAAGGGTGAGGAACGGTGGAGAATGGTAGGGAACGTGCGACGGGCGGCTGGACTGGAATGGGCGTCCCGCAAGACATACCAGGTAGATGGAAGGGGAACAGTGGGGAATGGCGGGGAATGGCGGGGAACGGTGGAGAATGGCGGGGAACGGTGGGGACGATGGTGCAGATAGACGAGCGGGCGCTGGGACTGCTGCTGCTTATACATGACTCTTACGCCCCGTCTCCCGCCCCCTTTCCCCCACAACACTGCAGTTGGCGGAACGATAGTGGAGGAGAAGAAGGTGGGGCAGACGCCATGCTTTTTAGTCGACTCAAAAATCAATTGGCGGATGCGATAGTGGTGGAAGAGGAGGTGGGGCAGACGAGGCAGATAGACGGACTGAGAATCGTGAGGCCGTTCCCTTGCCAGTGCCATCGGACTGCTATGCCCATATCACTTTTGAGACTGAACTGTGCTGTTCCTTTCTTCTCCCTCCTCCATTCTCCGTTCCCTTCCCCACTTCTCGCTCCCGTCTATACCAGTGCCATCACTCTCCGAGATGACAGTGGAGGAGAAGGTGGGGCAGATGATGCAGATAGACGAACGCGCGCTGGGATATGGAGGCAACATCACAGTGTACCATATCGGATCAGTTCTTAGGTGAGTCTTTCTCTCAGGTGAGCCCTTGCCTCAGTGCAAGCCTTTCCCTGCTGCGCCCTTTTCTTTCGGCTGGGAGGGAGACAACATCACAGTGTACAGTAGCGAATCAGTTCTTACGTGAGTCCGTCTCTGGTGCTCCCTTCTGTTAACATGAGTCATAATCAGGCACACTCTCCTCGTTGGGCTGGTAAGCAAGGTAACATCGGAGTGTAGCATAGTGGACCAGGGAGTCTGTTCTGTTGTACGACAAGTCCTTCTTAGGTCCGTTTCTCCTCAAGGGACTAAGGAGGCGAGGTCTGCTTTTGAGTCGACTCAAAAGCATTACACACGGTTTTTTTTTTGCTGTACGACAAGTCCTTCTTAGGTGCGTTTCTCCTCTTGGGACTAGGGAGGCGGGGTCATCACCTCACAGCATATGAGGTAACTTTTGAGTCGACTCAAAAGTCTTCTCTTGGGACTAGGGAGGCGAGGTCATCACAGTATATGTCCGCGATTCCTCCTCTTCCCCATCCCTCCTTCCCGCCATCCCTCCTTCCCCGTGTTGTTTTCTTCCCCCCCGCGCTCGCCCTCCTCCCCTTATGTTCCACCAGCGGGGGAGGGGCATGGCCGCAGTACGCCCCCAACACCCCCACAGCATGGGCGGACATGGTCGATAACTTCCAAGCGAAAGCCCTCAACACGCGGCTGCGGGTGCCACTGCTGTACGGAGTAGATGCAGTGCACGGGCACAACAACGTGGAAGGAGCGACCATCTTCCCCCACCACGTGGGGCTGGGGGCCGCTGGGAACGCAACCCTGGTAGAAGAGATTGCTGCAGCTGTGGCAAAGGTACGATGACTCTCTGAGCTGAGGCGAAAGCTCCAAGCCAGTTAGGTTGGGGTGAAGGCTTGGGCCAAGGAAAGGCACTCAGCACGCTGCGAGTGCCACTGCTGTACGGAGTGATGCGATGCATGGGCACAACAACGTGGAAGAGCCACCATCTTCCCCCACCACGTGGGGCTCGGGGCTGCTGGGAACGCGAGTCTAGTGGAAGAGATTGCTGCTGCTGTGGCAAAGGTGCGTTGAGAGGTGAAGGTTTGGGCTGAAGCTGCAATGATCAACTTGCGGCTGCGGGTGCTAGTGCTGTACGGGGTGTATGTGGTGCATGGGCACAACAACGTGCAGGGGGCGACCATCTTCCCCCACCACGTGGGGCTCGGGGCTGCTGGGGATGCAAGCAACCCTGGTAGACGAGATCGCTGCTGCTGTCGCCAAGGTACGATGGCCAAATCCGAGGCTAGACCGTTCAACACGCATCCGAGGCTAGACCGTTCAACACGCATCCGAGGCTAGACCGTTCAACACGCATCCGAGGCTAGACCGTTCAACACGCGGCTGCAGGTGCCGCTGCTGTACGGAGTAGACGCGGTGCATGGGCACAAGAACGTGTTTGGGGCGACTGTTTTCCCTTCCCGCACCACGTGGGGCTGGGGGCGGCTGGGAACGCAACACTTGTTGCAGAGATTCCTGCTGTTGTTGCTAAGGTGAGGTGAAGTTGTGACCTGCTGCTGTGCTAAGGTGAGGTGAGGTTGTGACCTGCTGCTGTGCTGCTGCTGTGCTAAGGTCCGTTCATGCTGTACGGGGTGTATGCGGTGCATGGGCACAACAACGTGCAGGGGACGACTATTTTCCCCCACCACGTGCGGCTGGGGACGCGAGTTTAGTGGAAGAGATTAAATTGCTGCAGCTGTGGCCAAGGTGCGCCGAGACTGTGACCTGCTGCTAGCACCTCTCCTCAGCACTTGTCTGCGAGTGCAGCAGCGTGCGATGAGGCGATTTAAAAATCGCCTCTCCTCAAAAATCGCCTCTCCTCAAAAATCGCCTCTCCTCAAAAATCGCCTCTCCTCAATAATCGCCTCTCCTAAAAAATCGCCTCTCCTCAAAAATCGCCTCTCCTCAAAAATCGCCTCTCCTCAATAATCGCCTCTCCTCAAAAATCGCCTCTCCTCAAAAATCGCCTCTCTTAAAAAATTGCCTCTCCTAAAAAATCGCCTCTCCTAAAAAATCGCCTCTCCTAAAAAATCGCCTCTCCTCAAAAATCGCCTCTCCTGAAAAATCGCCTCTCCTAAAAAATCGCCTCTCCTAAAAAATCGCCTGGGGAGTGAGTTGGCCGTTTGCCGCTGCGGTGTGCCTCGACCCTTGTTGGGGTGAATACTGACCTCTGTTTCTTTTTATCCTCCCGAACCCCTCCTTACGAGGTGACTTTTGAGTCGACTCTAAAGTTGCCGCTGCGGTGTGCCTCGACCCTTGTTGGGGTGAATGCTGACCTCTGTTTCTGTTTATAAGGTGACTTTTGAGTCGACTCAAAAGTTGGCCGTTTGCTTGCCACTGCGGTCGCCCGTGTGCCTCGACTCGACCCTTGTTGGGATGAATTCTGACCTCTGTTTCTGTTTATCCTCCCAAACCCTTCCCTTACTTATTCCAGGAAGTGGCAGCAACGGGGGTGCGGTGGACCTTCGCCCCTGCCGCCACCGTGTGCTTCGACTGCTGGGTGTTTTTGAGAATTCTCAAAAACACCCTGTCGCCCCTGCCGTCATCGTGTGCCTTGACCCATGCTGGGACCGCTGCCAACCCCTCCTTATCTTCCAATGCCATCTGTTTCCACACCTCTTATTCCCCGGCCTTTCAGGAAGTGGCAGCAACGGGGGTGCAGTGGACCTTCGCCCCTGCCGTCACCGTGTGCCTCGACCCACGCTGGGGCTAATCCTGACCCCTCTATCCTCCACCTCTATCCCAACCCCCATTCTCCCCATGACATGGCATGTCATGGCATGGCAGGAAGTGGCAGCAACGGGGGTGCGATGGACCTTTGCTCCTGCCGTCACGGTGTGCCTCGACCCTCGCTGGGGCCGCTGCTACGAGAGCTACGGGGCGGATCCTGGGCTTGTAACGGAGCTTGCTATAGCGGAGATACGCGGATGGATGGTGAGAAAATGACTATTGGGAGCGGGGGAGAGGGGGAGGGAGACGGGGGGAGTTGGGCCGGACCCGGGGCTTGTAACGGAGCTTGCTATACCGGAGATACGCGGATGGATGGTGAGAGAAGAGCTTTGACTGGGGGGGACTGGGAGGTTAGCGGGTGATGGGAAGTGTCTGAAGGTCTTTGGCTGAAACAGAAAAGAGAAACGCCGTTTTCTTTTCTTCTTTTATTGTGTTGTTTGGTGTTACATGTCGATGTGTGTATGGAGGAGGTCTATTCCCCTCAGATACATTCTTTTCTTCAGAGGTGTATGTCTCTGTGGTGACCATCCAAACAACACCTCCTCTGCAGCGTATGTCTCTGTGGTGACCATCCAAAGGAAACAACACCTTCCCTCCTCCCCAACTAATCCCCGATGTTTCCCTCCTCAGAAAGTGCCTCCCGAGGCTGGGAACTTTCCAGGAAGCGTCTTCATGGCGCCAACAGCAAAGCACTATGTGGGGGATGGGGGCACGAGGGGAGGCGTGGACCGGGGGGAGACGGTAGGGGGGGAGGCGGAGCTGAGGAAGGTGCATCTGCTGCCGTACGTGGCGGCTGTAGCGGAGGGCGTGTCATCGATCATGGCGAGCTACAGCAGCTGGAATGGCACCAAGATGCATGGCAACGGGTGAGTGAGGGACGCACGATTGGGCATGATTGCACGTGCGCTACAGGCGGCTACTTTTGAGGCGCCTCAAATGTGCGCTACAGGTTGGCAACAGGTGTGCTACAGCCGCTACAGTGTGTCGACGATCATGGCAAGCTACAGCAGCTGGAATGGCACCAAGGTGCATGGCAATGGGTGAGTGAGTGAATGAGTGATCTACAGCTGGGCATGGCTGCATGTGCGCTACAGCCACTACATGGGGGCTCTTATAGTGGCAGAGGGGGTTTGGCTGTAGCAGAGGGTGTGTCTACCATCATGGTGAGCTACAGCAGCTGGAACGGAACCAAGATGCATGGCAATGGGTGAGTGAGTGAGTGAGCTACAGCTCGGCATGACTGCATGTGCACTACAGGTGGGCAACAGGTGTGCTACAGCCGCTACAGGGCATCTCTACCATCATGGCGAGCTACAGCAGCTGGAATGGCACCAAGATGCATGGCAATAGGGCCGTTTCTGAGGCGCCTCAAAATACACCTCAAGATGCATGGCAATGGGGCCGTTTCAACCCTCCACCCATCCACCCTTTCTTCCCTCGACCCCTCCACCGCTTCACCTCATCACGCTTGTCACTTAATGTTCTCCTGGTCGGCCCCCCATCAGCATGGGGAGATGTCAGTGAAAAGCAATTGAACGGGTGACGAGGTGTGTGTTTCTGAGAGGTCTCATAAGCCAAGCTCATTGTGAAGCACGTCCGTCAAGGAGCTGGGCTTTGTGGGCCTCATGGTGTCCGACTGGAGGCATCTCAATGCCTCAGAATCTCCACTCCCTTCATCCCCTCTTCTCCCTTTACGTCTCCTTTCTTTGTCACTGTCATCAAACCCCCATCAGCTCTCTCTTCACAGACATGCTGCGCAGGGAGCTCGGCTTTGTGGGCCTCATGGTGTCCGACTGGGAGGCAACCTCCACCCCTCTCCACCTCTCTCCACCGCATCAACACCCCCCTCCCTTCCCCAACCAGCTATCTCTTGACAGACGTGCTTCGCAGGGAGCTCGGCGTTGTGGGTCTCATGGTGTCCGACTGGGAGGCGAACTCAGATCCTTGGAACCTCTCCATTCCCTCAACCTGACACCGTCCACCCCTCTCCACCACTTTCCATCCCTCTCCACCGTCCACTTCCTCCCCAACCAGCTGTCTCTTCACAGACGTGCTGCACAGGGAGCTCAGCGTTGTGGGTCTCATGGTGTCCGACTGGGAGGCGAACTCAGATTCTCGGACCTCCCACTCACTTCACCACCCCCTCACCCTCCATCCCCCCACTCGTCACCCTCCACCCCTCTCCACCCCTGCAACCCCGCCCCCCAACCAGCTATCTCTTGACAGATGTGCTTCGCAGGGAGCTCGGCTTTGTGGGTCTGATGGTGTCTGACTGGGAGGCGCTCAAGGAACTTCCAGGAAGCTACGAGGACCAGGTAGATAGCAGTATTGATTATTGTTGTTGTTGTTGTTGTTGTTGTTGTTGTTGTTGTTGTTGTTGTTGTTGTTGTTGTTGTTGTTGTTGTTGTTGTTGTTGTTGTTGTTGTTGTTGTTGTTATTGTTGCTGCTGCTGCTGCTGCTGCTGCTGCTGCTGCTGCTGCTGCTGCTGCTGCTGCTGCTGCTGCTGCTGCTGCTGCTGCTGCTGCTGCTGCTGCTGCTGCTGCTGCTGCTGCTGCTGCTGCTGCTGCTGCTGCTGCTGCTGCTGCTGCTGCTGCTGCGTTGCTGTTGCTGTTGCTGTTGCTGTTGTTGTTGCTGTTGTTGTTACTGTTGTTGTTACTATTGTTATTATCATCATTGTTATTGTTATTGTTATTATTGAAGTTGTTGTTGTCACTACTAATATTATTTTTGCCGTTCTTATCTCCTCCCTCCTTATCTCTCTTACCCTCGTGTCTAAAAAGTCCGCATTGGTGTGATATCCAACTCAGGTCTCAATACGATCAAGATTTCCAACAATTCTGCTCATTTCCCCTCCCACTCTTCCTCTCCCTCCTATACCTTCCCTCCGTTTCTCTCCCTCAAACAAACCCCAGGTTGCCCTGGGGGTCAACTCGGGTCTCGATATGATAATGGTTCCAAACGACTTTGCCAACTTCTCAGCCACCCTCTCCTCTCTGGTCAACTCAGGGCGCGTTCCCATGTCACGAATTGACGAGGCCGTGTCGCGCGTTCTCTCGCTTAAACACTCCCTAGGTCTGTTTGACAAGGACTTGGTCTGTGCGCGCCACTCCTCCTCCTTCTTCTCCTCCTCTTCCTCCTCGCTCTCCTCTCGCTTCCTCCCATTTTTCGGCTGCCCAGAGCACCGCCAACTTGCCCGAAAAGCTGTAGCAGCCTCGCTGGTGCTTCTACAGGACAAGTGGAGGAGAGGGGGGACGGGAAGCGGGTACAACGCTGCCGTCTGGGGTCGGGGCAGGAAGAAAATGTTACCGCTGCCCGTGGACGGCGTGAAAATCGTTGTCGCGGGCAGCCATGCAAACGACATTGGGAGACAATGTGGGGGATGGACTATCACATGGCAAGGAGAAGAGGGTCCTATCACCAAAGGCACTACTATTTGGCAAGGGATTAAAGAGCTAGTTGCCGGCCGGGCCGCAAGCCTAACCTATATCGGCTACCCGCCTGAAGACGAACGTTACGAGAACGGGACGAGGAAAAGGCCACTCGAAGCCACCCGGGAGGCGGCAGCAGTGTGGGCGAAGCGAGCAAGGAGTGTAGAAGCTGACCTTGGGATTATAGTTGTAGGGGAGCCGCCTTATGCCGAGTACAAGGGGGATGATCAGCAGCTGGAGTTGAGCGGCCCTGCCCGGTCGACAATTTTCAGCATTTGCGGGCAGATTCCGTGCGTTGTGGTGGTGGTTTCCGGGCGGCCGCTGAATGTTACGGGCATGTTACCGCATCTAGACGCATTAATAGCCGCGTGGTTACCCGGGTCGGAAGGAGGGGGTGTAGCAGATGTGTTGTTTGACGAAGCAGTGGATTTCAAGGGTAAATTACCCTTGCCGTGGTTCCGTTCGGTCAGGGACTTGCAGCTGGATCACTCCCCTGGGCCCAACCCGCCTTTGTTCCCATTGGGGTTTGGGCTGAGTAAGACTGGTGAGCTGCTAGGTACCAGGCAGGGAGGCGAGGGGGCACCATAGGGAGGGGAGGGAAGAACCTTCAGGCCGATCACTCCCGTCTTTTGGGAGGGGGCATGATCGGGCTTAACCCGTCTTTGTTCCCCTGGTGAAGGAGACTGGGGAGGGGAATGTTCCGGTGGTGTGTGTTTGTGTTGGTGGGTTGGAAGCAGTTGGGTTGGTGCTTGTGTGTGGATGTGTGTGTGTGTGTGTGAGGGTGGGAATGTGCATGTGTATACGTATGTGCAAGTGTGTATGTGTGGGTGAGTGGGGGGAGAGGGTGAGGCCTACGCATGCAAGTGTAGTAGACCCTTGTTTTCGAAGCTCGTATTGTATGGTATATCGTAATGTGTTACACCTTCGAATAGTGTGCAGTAGATCTAACTCAAAAGCATGTAGCACGTAGCATCCTGATGGAGTTTGCTAAGATATCAATGATTCACCTTGACTTAGGGGGAGAAGACTAGAGGATTTGTGCTGCCAGAAGCACAGAAGGAGATAGAGCAGTTGAAAGCAGCAGCTAGTACAGGGTGCTGTCTGTTGCACGTTTCTATAGAAAGAAAGTCTTGATGCATACAGAGAAAACAAGACGTTTCAATTTGCATTGTACCCTACGTATCAGGCCATATTTACATGCGGAAATTGTAATCCCTGAGGTGACATGACATTGCCTTCTTGCCTGTTTACCCCACCCCACCACGAGCTTCAATACTAGTACTGCAGCTGTGACTGTCAAAAGAGACACATGCCACGCCAGCCATCAATCTTCACCTGGCTGCATGTAGCGGGGCAAGGAAATACCGTACCTCGGGTGCACTCTCCAGCAAGTTACAACAAAGCGCTGCTGCCTTGACCCGCCCACACGTACACACTCAAAGTGCATTCGCTCAGCTCTGGAAGGCTCTTCCCCAAGGTTCCAATGGGGAAAGAGGCGTCCTGGGGTGCAATCTCCTCATGTGCGCTCTCAGTGAGTCACTGCTGAGCCCCGCTGCCTTGCCACACACGCCACACACCCGCACTCTCAACCGGCTCACTCGGCCCCTTGAGCAGCAGGGCAGAGGCGGGCCTTGGCAGGCTTTGCCTTGCAGCATCCAGCACACACGCCTACCGCCCCTTAGGCCTCGCAAGAAGTAGACTCAAGAGGGGGAAGAAGTGTTTTGGGGTGCATCCTCCTCATGTGTGCTCTCAGGGAGTCACTGCTGAGTCCTGCTGCCTTGCCACACACGCCACACACCCGCACTGTTGGCCGGCTCACTCGGCCCCTCGGGCACCAGGGCAGAGCGAGAGGCATGGGGGAGAGGGGGGAGGAGGCGGGTGCAGTTGCTGCAGGAGCAGAGGCAGGGCTGGAGTGGGGGGTAGGAGCAAGAGGAGCAGCAGTTGCAGTGGTGGCAGGAGGGGTGAAAACATCAGGGGCAGCAGCAGCAGCATCAACACGGGTATAGGGGGTTGTAGGTGCTGCAGAAATGGCAGCAGAAGGGGTCGCAGCAGCAGCAGTGACACTGGCAGTGGTAGCAGTGGTAGCAGTGTCGACGGTGGGAGCATCAGTACTGGTATTTGCCGGCATGTCACAGGGAGGAGTTGGGGCAGCAGTGGGAGAGAGGAGAAGAGGGGGAGGAGGCGCAGGCGGGTGAGGGGGGAAGAGCTGTCTGTCAAGTGCCACTAGCTGGCGAAGGAAGGCGGTGTTGGGGGCGGCGTGGGGATGGGCGGAATGTAGCACCACCCATGCCTCTGCCAAAGGCATGCGCCTGGGGGGAAAGGACAGGGGGGAGTGGGGAACGAGGGGCGGGGGGAGGAGGCAAGGAGCGCAGGGAGGGGGGCACAGAAGGAGAAGAGTTAGAGAAAAGAGATGGTAAGGGGAAAGGAAGAGGGAAAATGGGAAAGGGAGGTGCAGGAGGGGGAGGGGGGAAGAGCTGTCTGTCGAGGGCCACTAGCTGGCGGAGGAAGGCGGTGTTGGGGGCGGCGTGGGGGTGGGCGGAATGCAGCATCACCCATGCCTCCGCCAGGGGCATGCGCCTGGGGGGAAAGGAGAAAGAAGGCAGGGGGGAGGGGGGCACGGGGGCAGGGGGGATGAGTGAAAAGCTTTTGGTCAATAGGACCAGCTCGCGGAGGAAGGTGGTGTTGGGGGGGGCATGGGGGTGGGCGGAGTTTTGAGGCGCCTCAAAACTTTTTGGTCAAGAGGACCAGCTGGCGGAGGAAGGCGGTGTTGGGGGGGTGGGCATGGGGGTGGGTGGAGCCGCGGAGTGCAGCACCACCCATGCGGCGCCAGGGACATGCGCCTGGGGGAATGGGGACAGGGGGAAGAGGGGATCGGGGCAGGTGGAGGGGGGTAAGGGGACACGGATGGGCTGCCGCCCTCGTAGCACAAGGGGACACTTTCATATCCTGGTCGCCGTACCTCTGAATGCTTCTAACCCACCGTGCCATACGCACGCACGTACCTTTTGGTCATCAGATAAGCCAGGACGATCGAGACGGATCGGCTGCGGCCCTCATAGCAGTGCAGCAGCTCATCACACGTACACGCCAGCAGAGGCTTCTTTACCACCGCACGCACCTTTTTGTCATGAGGTACGCGAGCACAATGGACACGGATCGGCTGCGGCCCTCGTAGCAGTGCACCAGCACCCCCCTCGTGAGTGCCTGGGATTGCCGTACCTCTGAATGCTTCTAACCCACAGTGCCATATGCATGCACATACCTTTTGGTCATGAGGTAAGCGAGCACAATGGACACGGATTGGCTGCGGCCCTCATAGCAGTGCACCAGCACCCCCTCTTGAGTGCCTGGTTAACTGGTTAACTTATTGCCGTACCTAAGCAGGCGTCTTAACCACCACTGTGGCATACATACACACCTCTTGGTCATGAGGTAAGCGAGCACGATCGAGACGGATCGGCTGCGGCCCTCATAGCAGTGCACCAGCACCCCCTCGCCCTTGCTAATGGCAGCTTCCAGGAAGCTGCTCGTTGTGTCAATGTACTTGCTCAGATCCTCCCGGTCCGAGTCGCGCATCTGATGGGGTCAGGGCAGGGAGGTGGAGAATGGCGTGGGGAGAAAGGCGGGCATGGTGGTATGGAGTCGTGCACAAAGCGAATTCTGAGAGTTCTCAAGAGTGATTCGAGCACAGCTGCTCGTTGTGTCGATGTACTTGCTCAGATCCTCCCGGTCCGAGTCGCGCATCTGATGGGGGCAGGGAGGCAGGGAGTGGGGTGGGGCAAGGAGGGACGAAGCAGGGGGAGAGAGAGAGAGAGAGAGAGAGAGAGAGAGAGAGAGAGAGAGAGAGAGAGAGAGAGAGAGAGGCAGGCCTTGTCAGAAATACTTCCAACACCGCTGCGCGTTGCCTCGATTTACTTGCTCAGGTCCTCCCGGTCTGAATCACGCATCTGATGGGGGCAGGCAGGCGGGGAGTGGGGCATGTAGGCAGGCAGGGCAGGGGAGTAAGGATGCAGACAGTGAGCGAATTTTGAGCAGCGCCAAACGTGAATGATTCCAGCACAGCTGCGCATTGCCTCTTCGTACTTGCTCTCAGGTCCTCCGGGTCTGAATCACGCATCTGATGAGAATTGGCAGGCAGGGAGGGGAGCGGGGTGGGAAGGGGGGGCATGGAGACAGGCACTGAGCGGCTGTTGACTGACAGGCACAGCTGTGTAAAAGGTAACTCCAACACAGCTGGTCTAGTTGTTTCTATGGACTTGCTCAGATCCTCCCTGTCTGAGTCGCGCATTTGGTGGGGACAGAGAGCCAGGGAGTGGGTACAACTCAAAGCATCCCCCCCCCCTCCCACCCTTCTTCCCCTTCCGTTCCACCCCACTCCACTCACCGGCAGAACGAGGTAGCTGAAGAGGGGGGACTGCTCCGCATCGGGATCTAGCAGGTCTATGGGGCAGAGCGTCACCACGTGGCGCACGCCCAGATGGTGCAGCAGAGGGAAGGAACGTCCGTCCCCTTTACCCCGCCTTTACCCCTTTCCCCACCTTAAAGCACCCTCAACTCACCGGCAGCACGAGGTAGTTGAAGAGGGGGGACTGCTCCGCATCTGGGTCCAGCAGGTCAGTGGGGCAGAGCGTCACCACATGGCGCACGCCCAGGTGGTGCAGCAGGGGGAAGGAGCGCGCAGCAATGGCGGACCCCAGGTAGAGATGCGGGAGGACGAGCGAGGGGCGCTCAGTGGCCATCGAGTCCTGCACCAGGCCCCACCGCTCCAGCAGGTGGTGCAGACGAACCTGAAGGTGGAGAGAGGGGTGGAATGGAAGGGAGGGCACGACTTGTATAGAGGGAGAGGAGGACGAGTGAGGGGCGCTCAGTGGCCATCGAGTCCTGCACCAGGCCCCACCGTTCCAGCAGGTGGTGTAGGCGCACCTGGGGGAGGGGAAACGGGAGAGTAGGACAGATGAGTTCAGGGGGTGCAAGCAGGTGGAGAGCAGCGATGGCGGAGCCAAGGTAGAGGTGGGGGAGGACCAGCGAGGGGCGCTCAGTGGCCATGGAGTCTTGAACAAGCCCCCAGCGTTCCAACAGGTGGTGCAGACGAACCTGGGGGGAAGGGGAGGAGCAGAGCAGAGAAAAACAAGCGCCTGAGCTCGACACGTTGTTTTGAGGCGCCTCAAAAATCGTCTTTTGAGGCGCCTCAGAAATCCAACCCGGGGGGAAGGTGAGGAGCAGAGAAGAGAAAATCAAGCGCCTGAGCTCGACACGCCTCATGACACGAGCATCAGGGTCCAGCACGTGAAGTGAGCTGACCAACCAGCACTCACCTTGGGCTCGTACGCGCCAACCAGGTTGTGGGCTCTCCGCTCCCCCCCCCCCCCCCCACACCTTCATGAACCCTGTCACAAACTGACTTTAGTCTCTCCCCCCCACACACCTTTATGAACCCTCTCACAAGATTTGAGAAGTCGCAAAACTTGGGCTCGTACGAGTCAACAAGGTTGAGGGCTCCGCCCCCCCCCCACACACCTTCATAAACCCCGTCACAAACAGTGCCCCACTCGAGCATACACGCCATGCCCCGTGCCGCACTTGTGAAAACCTCGGAAAATAAAACCCTCACCTTCAATTCGTAAGCATCCACCAGGCTGTGCGCACCATCCCCCTCCCACTACTCACCTCCATGAACACGTCACAAACGGCACGGCACGGCACGGCACGGCACGGCACACTTTTGAGAATTCTCAAAAGTCCTCCATGAACACGTCACGAACGGCACGGCACGGCACGGCACACGCGTTCACAAGGCAAGCGTGCGCCAAACATGAAGAAGCTGCTACAAGCAACTCTCACCTTGACCTCATAAGCGTCCACCAGGCTGTGAGCGCCGCCCCCGCCACTCGCCTCCATGAACCCCGTCACAAACGGCACCGCAGCCGAGCATACAAGCCAAGCCCTAGGCAACCTCACATGGAAGAAAACACACCCACCTTCAATTCGTAAGCATCCACCAGGCTGTGCGCACTGCCCCCTCCACTCGCCTCCATGAACCCTGTCACAAACGGCACCGCAGCCGCCTTGCATATCCGCCCCGCCTCCTCCCGCATCATGCCGTCCCATCGCTGCACCTCCTCCCTCAGCTCCTCGTCCCCCTGTGCCGACTTCCTCACCCCGCGGATCTTCATGCTCAGCCGCGAGGGTAAACCACCCAGAGATGCCCTCCATGCGGCCGCTTTGGCTGCGGATTTGCTGATGGAGGCGGGTGCATGACGCGGGTTGGAGGGGGTTTTGTGTGAGGACGGGGTTTTGTGGGATGGGGTTTTGTGGGAAGGGGTTTGGAAAGTGGAGGGGGTTTTGAGGGAGGAGGATTTGTGGGTGGGGCGAGAGGTGGGACTGCGAGCGAGGAGACGGGTGCGGTTGGCTGGGGGAGTGTGCATGCTGCTGGTGCTAGTGTCACGAGCAGTACCAGTGGCAGTATCAGTGGCAATATCAGTGGAAGGAACAGGTGCGGGATCAGCAAGAGTGGTTGTGGTGGCGCTAGTGGTGGCGGTGTCAGTGGCATTGTTAGTGGCAGTGGTGGTGGTGGTGGTAAGAAGAAGGTGCGGTTGCTTCTGCCGATGGAGGGTAGGGCGGGTAATGGGCGAGGGGCGGGTGGAGGGAGGGGAGGAGAAGGCGGAGGAGAGAGACATGGGGGAGGTGGCACAGGTGGGTGGCGAGCTGGCAGCGCTAACAGCAGCGCTAGTGGGAGCAGTGGTAACAACAGGAACCACAGCAGCACCAGCGGCAGCAGCAGCAGGAGGACCTGCTTCAGAAGAGCTTGCATCTCCTTGTGTCGATGCTTCAGCTGTGGCCTTCCCAGCAGGTTCCCCAGCTGCTTCTCCAGCTGCAGATGCCGCTGCTGCTGCTTGTCGGTCTGCCTCGTCGGTTGCTGCGGTCTTCTCACAGATTCTACTAAGGAAGGGCGAGCGGGCGCTGGTGAGAGAAGGAGATCGGGGAGCAAAGCGAGCAGGGGAGCGCGCGAGGTGGGGCGAGAGGGTAGCACCAGCAGATGATCGGCGGTATGGGCCAGGGGAACGTGGGGGAGCAGGCGAGCGGGGGGGAATGGGGGAGCGGGGAGGAGCAGGGGAGCGAGGGGGGATTGGAGAGAGAGGAGGGATAGGGGAGCGGGGAGGAGCGGGAGAGCAGGGAGGGGCGGGGGAGGCGGGGGCAGAGAGAGCAGGGGAAGGGGGAGGGGCACGGGGCCGACGGGAGAGAACAGTACGACGACCACCGGCACTGACACTGCTACCAACACCACTATTGCCACCACCACCACCGCCATCACCACCACCATTGCCCTTAGCAGCCGAATCAGCATCAGTATCAGCACCAGCACCAGCATCAGCATCAGTTGGAGAGCAGTCAGTGCGAGAGGCGTAGCCGTACGCAGGCCCAGCAGCAGAGGGAGGCATGACTGGGGGAGGTGATATCCGCCTCATCACATGCTGTGAGTACGACTCCTCGCTAGGAGACGGAGGAAAGGAGGAGGAAGACTGGGAGTTGACAGCACTCAAGTACCTCTCGCAACGGGGAAACCTGTTAGAGGGAGGAGTTGAGGGGGACGTCTTAGAAGGTGATTCATTAGAGAGTGACCCGTTACAGTGTGACCCCTTACAGGGAGAGGTTTCAGCAGAGGGGGGTGCTCGAGGGGAAAGGGGGGCCGCCTGGGGGGAGGAGTTGAGGGAAGATTCGAAGTCCCTGGGGGTGTGGGGCGACCACAGGGCGGTACTATGTGAGCCGGCTGTGCGAGGGGAGGGTGTTACTGGGGAAGGTAGATCTGGGGCAGGTGCATTGAAAGGCTCCTCCATAGTATCTTCTGCTGCTGAGATGACAGGGGGGCGGAGGGAGGGCAGATGTAGGGCCCTGCTGGCTGAATCGTCGTGGGAGAGTGATGACGTGGGAAGGGATGCTGATGACGTGGAAGGGGATGGTGATGACGTGGTTCTGGCTACAGCAGTGGTGGCAGAAGGAGGAGAGGAGTCAGGGGAGATGGGGTCTTCTGCTTCAGGAACAGGCGACAGAACAGAAGGGGGAGGATGAGAGGACGAGGCAGCGGAAGGGAAGAGAGGAGGTGGAGGGAACTGTTCAGTGTCTTGGCCTGCAGATGTCATGTGAGCATTATCTGACATCTCTTGCACTGTAATTGAAATCTCTAGCTCTCTGGAAGCACCACCCTCACTAGTGCCACAGCTGACAACACTGACAGTACCGCCACCACCATCACCATAACCACAAGCACCACTGCCAGAACCCCCAACACCATCACCACCACTAGCACCACTGCTACCATCCCTCTTGCTGTCGCCCTCCCTCTCCCCACCAACACTCCCAAAGTCCAATCTACTCGCAGGCATGTGTTCAGTGCGGCACGATGCAGACGGTGAGGATCGTCTCACAGCGGGTCCTAGCCGCCTGTCACAGCTGTCACCGGCACAATTGAAGTCAGGACCAGCTCCATCGCCAATCCTGCTGTCGCTGCAATCACCAATCCCACTGCCGCCACCGCGACCATTGCCATTGCACCCTTTGTTGTTGACTCCTGGCCTCTGGACAGACGAAGGTGAGAGAATGTGCGACCCCTTTCGGAAAGGAAACGGGGTCGTTGTGTTTATATCAACCAGTGCTCCCCCTCTTCCTCCCACCCCTCCTCCTGCAACTCCTCCTCCCACCCCTCCTCTCCCTCCACACTCTCCCACCCTTCCCTCTCGTCCCACCACGCTCTCCTGCTTGTCACTGTCACTGTCCCTCCTGCCACCATACCCCATCCGCCCCCCACTCTCCCGGTCTCCCCCACATGCCCCAAACTCCCCACTTTTCCCACGCTCCCCCAATTGCCCACTCTCCCCGCCTCGTCCACCCTCCCCTGGCCCGTCGAGTGCAGGTACAGAGGTGACAAACGCGAGGAAGGCGCGGAGCATGTCGTCCAGCCGCGAGTGCAGTGCTGCCAGCGTGCGCTGCACGCGCCCCATCTCCTCCACCGCCTCCCGGAACCCCTGCTGGAACGCGCGCGTTTCTGGGGACACAAGGGGGTGTGCTGCGGCTGCCAGCTGTGCCATTTCGTAGGGCTGAAAATACATGCTGCTGCTGCTGCTGCTGCTGCTGCTGCTGCTAGTTGTAGTGATGATTTTGGCACCAGTTTCAGTGGTGGCGGTAGCAGTGGATGCAGTGACGGTGGTGGTAGTGCTGATGGTGGTGGTGACGCTGGTTGTGTTAGTAGTAGTAATAGCAGAGCAGGAGGTACTGGTGCTGCTTGGGAATGTAAGGGCAGTTACAAGCTCCATGGTACCACGAGAAAAGCTTTCTAGTGCTGCTCCAGCTTCGTGGAGAGACTGGGCGTGACTGTCAACTGGCTGGGTGCAAGCATCTGTAGCAGGAGCACCAGCAGTGGCACCCCCTTTAGAAGCACCAGTTCCAGGACCATCTGTTGCAGAAACACCTTTTCCAGAAGCACCCGACGAGGAGGACGGGAAGGAGGAGCAAGACGAGCCAAACGAGGACGACTCTAGCGAGGATGAAAACGAGCATGATGACAATGATGATGATGATCCTGGCAGGAGACCACCGTCATTAGCTGCTTCTGGCGGGAGCACAGTGGCGCCCAGGGCGCGCAGCTTGTCCTGCACGCCCTGCTCGTCCTGCTTGTGCCGCTCGCCCAGGGCACCAAAGGAGGCGTGGAAGAGTGTGTGCGCGGCAAAGCAAGGGTCATGCAGCAACAGCTGCACGAGGCGTGGAATGGCCTCCCTGTCCTGCTCTGCCAGCCCGGGCGGCACACGGCGGCAGATGGACGAGTCTATCACCACCACCTCCTGCCCCACACGCACCTGCTCTACCTCCTGTCCTGCTGGCAACTGTGTTACCTGATTCCCCTGCTGCTCCTTCTGATTTTTGTCACTATCGCATCCTCCCCCTCCACCATTGGCTCTTCCCCTTCCCCTTCCTCGCCCCCTCCCCCTCCCCCTCCCCCTCCCCCTTCCTCCTCCACTTCCTCCAACCTCCCTGGCTCCGCTCCCTCTCCTCCTGTCGTCAGGCCAGCCACCCAATCCCCCCGCCGTCCTCTCACTCTCCATCACACTCTCTTTCCGCTCCCAGGCTTTCAGTAACGGTCGATTGGAACACAGGATGTTTCCGCGGTTACCCCTCCACCCCAATTCCGGGCAGGGTAACCGGTCGTCGTTCCTCAGCATGATATCCAGCAGCAGCACACGGCCCAGCGAGTGCGCGGTTTTTTCCCGGGCAGTCCGGTCAGGGAAAAGCTCGTCCCGAGGACAAGAAACAAAGGATTGCCCTTTTACATGCCTGCACAAAGATGGGGACAGGATAGACAGGCGCTTGAGAAAATTGAGCTGGCAGGATGCTATGGGCAACGAACCTTGAGACGTTTCAAAGGACAACAGGGGAGAGAGTGGTGAAGACACGGCCGACAATCAAAACACCAAAAGAACGATACAACAGAAGGCAAATGTTTGATCCCACTTGTGGAAGGAACAAAAGTGCAGCCTACACCCACCCCATGAACAAGAAGCATCGGCTCAGCTGCAGGGCTTCCAGAAACTCCTCCACCGCACTCGCCTCCTCCTTCCCTCCACCCTCCCTCCCGTCCACCTCCTCCCCTCTCCCGCCCCTACCCCCCTCCCCTCTCGCCTCAACCTCTCTCTCCCTCAGCCTTTCCACAGCCAACACCACCTCGTCCCACTCGCGACCCTGCTTCACAGCAAGCTCATGCGCTGACAAAGCCGCATCATGGCCCGGACCGCAACTGTCCACTCGACCTAGATACCCCTGCTGCTGGTTCTCTTTATCCAGTGCAAATCGGTCGTCACTGCAAGCGCCAGCGCCAGAACCAGAACCACCCAGAGACGCCACACTACTGGTTCCTGTTACCGTCGCCCTCCTCCTTCCTGTAGTGCCACTACCGCTACCGCTGGAGCTGTTGGCGTTTGTTGCACTGCATAGCACGGGGCTGCTGTGGGTGCTGCTCCTGCCGTGATTCCCTCTGTGCACCACGCGTACCTGGGGCGTGGCAATGCCTAGGTGCATGGCTAGCTCTGCTCCAAATCGTTCCGATTGCACCACAATGCGCGACCCGGCGAATTTTATGCACGCTGCTGCCAGTCCCGGCTGGGGATCCACCCCTTCTCCTTCACCGCCTAACCATTCCCTCCCAGCTTTTTCCACTCCTCTGTTATCTTCACTGTGAAGCGTGTCTTGAGGCGGAATTTGCGCTCCTAGCTTTCCCTCGATCGCCCTATTCGCGGCTTCTTCCTCTGCTCTTTTGTGGCCGGGTTCGCCCCGTTTTGGTCCAGCCTCATGCACCTTTTGTCGGAACAGTGCGAAGTACACGATTCCACCAGAGTTGACGGTCACCTGAGGCACGAGGAACAGAAATAACGGAGAAGGGAAAGAAGGGGACACGGAGGAGGAGTTAAGCAGCAAGGCAATGGCAGTCAGAGGTTACAATGGAAAGAGAGACGAGACGAGAACGGAGTATGGTTTCCAGCAGTTCAGGAAAAAGGGCCTGCTGGAGGCTTGAAGGACACCTGAAAGACGCCTGGAGGACACCTGAAAGACGCCTGAAGGACACCTGAAAGGCGCTTGAAGGACACCTGAGAGACGCCTAACGAACACATGAATGACGCCTGACGAACACACCACAACCGGACGACTGCGGGTGCGTTTGGGTGCCTTACCTCCACGCTACCGCTCTTCTCCATCACAGGTGCATTTGAAAGCCCCTCCACTCCTCCCCCTCCTCCTCCTCCCCCTGCAACAGCCGAACTGCCCTCCCCTCCCACTTCTGTACGGTACAGGGCCACCAGGTCTGACCAATCAAATCGCCCCATGCGTACGTCCAGCTCAGCAGCCCGCGCCAGCTGCTGTTTCCAGTCTCCGAACCTGTACCCGTGCCACGAGTCTTGACGCTCGCGCTGAGCCTCTAAATGCTCGTGCCGAGCCTTGCTTTGCCGAGCCTCGCCGCTCATGCACACAGCTTGGTCACACTTCTTTCGAACCTCATCAATCTCTAGGTGGAGGCCGCAAGAACCACGCTGAGCTGCCTTACCATCAGTAGCATCGCTAGCCGCAGCAACAGCACAAGCTCTAGAAGCAGCGGCGGCTGCATTGGCAACGGCTGCAGCGGTAGTAGCACCAGGATGATCCAGATTCCCGACCGTTTCCTTCTCCCATCCATCACACGTCAGCTCACACCCCAGTGGCCCAGAGCATCTTCCTCCTGCAGCTCTCACAAGAGGATCCGACGTAGCAGTAGCAGTAGCAGTAGGAGGAGCAGGTGCAGGAGAAACATCCACAGGAGGCGAAACAGCCACAGTAGCAGTAGCAGCAGGAGGAGCAGGCGCAGGAGAAGGAGCACGAGCAGGAGCAGGAGCAGGAGGAGAAGGAGGAGCAGCAACAGGTGCAGCCCCGTTAACAGCAGCCCCAGACAGGGAGGCCTCAAGAGCATCACCCGCACCACCAGATGTACCCCCTTCCACCTCCACTCCCTTCCCTAGGACACAATAACCGCTATATTGCTGCTCCTCGATCATAATACTACCCTCTCCGTTGGGAATACACCTTGTCGGCTTCTGCAGTTTCCCCTCCTCCTCCTCTGTCAAGCCTCCCCCACTTTCCTCCCTCTCCCTCCTCAAGCCTTCCTCCCCATCTTCCCCTGTACCCGCACCGCCTAACGCAACCACTCCACCTGGCACCACCCTATTGGCAAGCCCCGGCTGCTTGTTCCAATCCCTTCCACTCTCCTTACTGTAACAGTCCCACGTAGTCACACCATCAGCCATAGGCCACGAGGCCCGCACTATAGGGCCATCCTCTGCTGCTGCTACTTCTGCGGCTGTTGCTGCCGCTGCGGCTGCCATAGTTGGGCGGCTGAAACGGGAGGCAGAGCTGAGGCCAGTGGGGGAGGCTCCACCTGGGGTCGGTTGTAGCATTTCATCACCACCACCAGTCCCAACACCAGCATCACCATCACCACCCGACCCCTTATCATCACCATTACCATCATAATCATCACCGTTCGTCTCCTCGCTACCGTTCTCGGCACTACCTGATTTGACTCTTTCCGTCTCCACCCTTATGCTACCCATTTTGTCACCTTCCTCATCCAGCCCACCGCATGCACTCTCTGCCTCCTCTCTCTCACACACACTCCCCTCCTCCCTCTCACACGCACTCTCCTCCTCCTCCTCCAGCCTTCCAGAAAGCTGGAACTCCGGGAGCCGGATTTCCAAGGCACCGTTACAAGAACACCCCAAGCCAGAGCCATGTGACTGCGGGCAGGGGAACGGATGCAGTTCCGACTTGCTCGTCTCGCTGATGCTGTGACTACGGCGAATGCCAGCAAAAGGAGGAGAGAACGAGTCGCTCTCAGCGCCCTTCGTTATAAGGTCGAGTTGGGAGGCGGAGGAGGTGGTTGGAGAGATGGGAGAGACGAGGTAGCCCATGCGATTGGCTGAAATGGACGATTTGGGAAGGGAAGTCAGCCAACGCAAAGGATGGGGACTGATGAGGCTTTGTGATGGACTGGAGAATGGCGAAGAACGAGGTTTGACTATGAAGTGGTGAATGGACACTATGAGTTAGGGAAGAATAAGGACTCGAGCCTTGTTAGCTTCGTCAAACGTGTAGAAAGTATATGAGGATTGCGAAAGGAGAATCAGGTTAGAAATGCAATGCATGTTAAGATCATATCACAAATAAACTCAATCGATGGAAAAACGAACCATAGGAAAATCAAATCCCACCTCTCTGCCTTGCACGCCAAGCTGCTCGCTTGCTCAAAAGCCACGGCTGGATGTCCCCCACCAATGACCGCCGGCCACGCGTCCGTGACAGAAACGCAAATGACTGCCAGGAGCGAAGGCAGGATCAGTGAGAAATGATGAGGCTAGGTTCTTGGCACGTTCTTTGCCCTCGAGCAATATTAAGTATTCCAGTTTATCACAACGAACGAAAACTGCTACGCGTTTGGCTAATGAGAACGAAGAGGAAATGTCATTCGCATACGGACCCTGTGCGAAAGAAGCACGGTCGACGACACGTCTTCGTGCTGTAGCGCGTCTTCTAACGCGGATGAGAACTCAGGATCTGTCTCATTGCCTTGCTCTGGGTCTTGCTCTTGATCAGTATCCGCCTCCCCCGGTTCTTGACCGTCGAGCTCTTCATCTTGAATGGCTTCTTGTCCTTCATTTTGACCATTCATATCATTCGTATTATTCAGATCCGCCTGATCGTTCTGACCGTTAGAATCATTCTCATCCATAAAATTATCGTGATCTCCAGGAACCGAATCGTTCCCGTCCACCTCGTCGCTCTCGCCGGCCTGATCCGTTCTACGTTGCTCTCTACGAAAATCCGACCTCTGGCCAAGTTTTACTGACGGGATTCGATAACTTGAGAACCTACTGCTGAGAGAATAGGCGTCCCTATCTTTTTCTTGTCTCTGATCGACAACTCCTATACTGAAGTCTAATCTCCTCTCTACTGCATCATCGATCACATCGTGATCGTCCATTTTATACGCAGATCAAGCAAGGTGGTTCCCTGTTCGACTATACAAGCGCGTGAAGATATCACACAGAACTGTGAAAGCTAGTATCAGAGAATCTGCGGCTGAATATCGACGTCAGCGAGTCCAACTAGATACTCAGTGAAACCTATGACAACGGGCAGAACCTGGACCGATTTTGATTGACGGTCTTTGCGGAGCGGCACTACAACGCCGCATACACGAGAATCATCAATGGCCAGGGGGACAAGGGTCAACGGTACACCTGCCTCTAAACTCCAGAACAAGGATAAACAATGGTGCACGGACTATGGGTGGGTCAAATGACACCAGTTGAGAGTGCAGGAATTTGAGGTGACAGAAATGAAAAAATACCGCTAGACCGAACTGAAACGAGGGATCTACCGAACTGAGAGTGACAATCTCGAGGGCAAAGGAGGGCAGGGGAAGAGGGAGAAGCCGTGGAAGGGAATGGGATTGGACAGGAACGGTGATCAATGATGGTGCTGTGGGGGTACAGGATGAGACGGATGAAATAAAAAGGTTTGACATATGGCGGGATGCGTTTGGATGAGTTGGAATAAGGTGCGCGATTGTGGAGATGTGGTGTAGAGGGACTTCCATTGTGCTGTTTGGGGAACATTGGACCCGCACCGCCCATACCTTGCAATCCAGACCAAGCAATTGGCGGGAACTCGAGCCGCGAAGTGACGAGCCCGAAGCCTGTCAGGGATTCTTCAATACAGCTATTTCTCTACACTCGACTTCGCTTATTTTACACCAGAACAGAAAGAGAAAGGGAAAACGAACAACCAGGAGAAACGGGGACCTCTACAGCGTGGATCGGATTCTGACAGAAATGCCTCCCAAATGTTCAGTCTTGAAAGTTCCATACTGTGTTGTCAACGTTCAGCTTCTTTTCGCGTGCGCCATGGCTAATGGCTGCACTACATCGCTATTCAGTCAGCTCCAGCTGCGCGGGCCCGTGACTCTCCCATTCGCAATTGGTAGAGTCAGCTTTGTACACTGCCATATCTCGACCAGGACAGCCAGACACATTCCCACTACCCAGCGTTCTCTTCCCTTATTCAGTTTCCGCACTAGAGTAGTTAAGGCTGGTCAGGCGAACGAAGTTAGCAACTCCGACTTGGCACATCGCGCGATCGAGGAGATTCGCGCCGTGTTTGACAGAATCGCACACGCAGCATCTGATTCTGCCAGTTCGGCCGGCGTGATTGACGATGCCGCGAAGGGTGACCCTTTCGAGAAGCTAGTGGAAGAAATCGTTTCCGCTAAAGATGGAAATATTGCTCTCTATGGAGTCGGACGGTAATCTCTCGCTCATTCGAACTGCCTATGTCTCCTCTTTCATTTCTAGTTCAATCCGCCTTTTTCTCATGTGCTCCTGTTCAGAACCACACATACATGAATGTGACAAAAACTGGCACATTGACAAATCATTGAATCTCTCTTTTTTTCTCCTCCCTCCCCCTCTCTCCCTTCCTCCCCCCCGCACCCACCTCCCCCCCTTCCCGCCGGAGCAGAAGGGTCTGATCATGCAAGCCCTAGAGATGGGCCTGTACCACCTAACAGAAGCTGGCACATTGTCTAAGTATCATTGTACATATCTCATTTTGTCTCTGCGCACACCCGCCTCCTCCTCCCTCCTTCCCCCCGAACAGGGAGGACCTGATGATGCGAGCTTTGGCCATGCGCCTATACCAGCTAACAAAAGCTGACTTTATAACTCATACTTCTTCTCAATATTTCTCATCGTTTCCTTCTGTTGTTTCCCACGAGCAGAGAGGGACTCATGATGCGAGCTCTGGCAATGAGGTTGTACCACCTAGGCTTGCAGGCCTCCGTCGTGGGTGACATTTCCTGCCCTCCCATTGGTCCAGGAGATCTCCTCCTTGTCAGCGCCGGCCCTGGCCGCTTTTCCACTGTGGAGGCTCTTCTGGGGGAGGCTAGATCTGCAGAGGCCAGGACCGCAGTCATCACTGCACAGCCATCAGGGGATTGCGCCAAGCTGGCAGATCGTGTGGTGTACATTCCTGCACAGACAATGGCAGATGATCTCGTTTCTGGTGAAGGAAGGGATAGGGTTGAGATTGAGGAGGACGGGGTGCTACCCATGGGGAGTGTTTATGAGGGAGCGTTATTTGTTTTGGGCGAAGTGGTAGTGCGTCTCTTGCGGGATAATTTGGGCGAAACAAAAGTGTCCATGCGTGTCCGGCATACCAATTTGGAGTGAAGCTCACATGTCTAGGGTTTAGTAAATGTAAGAATTTCGTCGTTTACATAATTAGACTCTACACTCTAGTAAAGTAATCGCGGTTATCCGTAACGGAAGTTTGTGCGGCGCTGTGCCTGATCATGAATTCCCAGGCGCCAGAGAACCTTCATATCTCCATCACCACGGGAATGAATGTCTCCGTCCCCTTCGATGCTCTGAATCATCACCCCTCTTGTCACTGATTCCAGAAGCAGTATTTTACTGCGAAACAAGTTCAAGCTCAACCTCCGTCATAATCGTCCGTCGTTGCCGCTGCTTCGCGTCAAGTGGAATATTCTGCAGTGGATAAGAGCACGCGCGATTGGATACGCAGTCGATTGAAGCCACGTGGTTGTGAGCCTACGCTGACCCACGGAAAGCTACCGGGGAGCCGACTGGGCTTTCAAGTGAACGCACTTGCAGCTGATCATAAGACAAACAAATGATCATAAGTGATGATTCGATTCTTCCTAGTGTTCTAGCTTGCGAAGTCCCATTGCCGTTGAGCAGGATTCAGCCTGTCAGCACCAGCACCCATTCTCAATTCGTGAATTCGTGAATCTTTGTCTCCACATAGGGGACAGAGCAACACCAGCTGCCATGTTAGCACCAGTAACCACCCCAGCGGCAGCAGCAGCAGCACCGTCAGCAGATGATTCACCACAAACAGCAGCGCCATCCGCTGCAGCAACAACAGATGAACCATCAGTAGTAGCAGCCAAACCTACCATCCCAGCAAGTCCTAACATCGGTCCCTTCCATGCCTATTCTCTCCGTTTCTTCTCCTCCAACTCGAGCTCCGGTAATGGAGATGCTTATAACGGGACGTGCAGCACAGAGTGCTTTTCCGGGTTCATGCTGCTGACATCGCCGGCCATTGGCCCGCTGGATGATGACGTGGCACACATGGAAATCCCCCTTTGCTCCAAGTATTTTGGAGCTTGCGCTGCTGCTACAGATGCAAGACCTGCGGCTACAGATGTGGGGTTAGCTGCTACAGCCTCAGGATTTGCTGCTGGCGTGACTGCTGCTGCTACAGCTTCAGGATCTGCTGCTGGCGTGACTGCTGGCGTGACTGCTACTGCTGCTCTTAGTGCTGGTGTTCCCTCTGCCGGCGCCTCACCTGCGGTTCCGCACCATCCAGCAACGCAGCCCCCTTCAGTTGCTTCAGGATCGGTCCGACTCTCTCCTCTTGGAGCCCTCGCTTTCTCGCCTCAGCAGGTCAGTTGTGATCATACTATTCAGGTGATTCAGGTGGTTCAGGTGATTCAGAAGGTTCAGTTTCAGTTTCAGTTTCAGTTTCAGGTTCAGGTTCAGGTTCAAGCTCAGGTTCATGTTCAGGTTCAGCTCAAACAGATGTCAGAACGTGTCAGCTGTGCACCCACATGCACCCCTCATTCTCCCCCTTCTCCCCCTTCTCCCCCTTCTCCCCCTTCTCCCCCGTCTCCACCTTGTCCCCCTCCTCCCCCTGCTCCTCAGCTAACCAGTGCCATGTGCTACCACATGCGTCTGTTCGGCATGGCGTTGGATCGATGGGACCTCATGCACCATGCTCCCACCCTCGCCCAAGCTGCCGCTGCTTCCGAATCTGCTGCTGCTGAATCTGCTGCTGCAGGGGCTGTTGTTGAAGCTCATGCTGCGGCTGCTTCTCCTGCAGCAGCAGCAGCAGGTGCTGCTGCGACTGAAGCTCATGCTGCTGCGAGCACACCTCCCACGCCTCCCACGCCCATCAGCACCGCTGTGCGCCCCTTTGGCGCCTTCTGGACCGCATCCCACTACTGCCTCGTGCTGCCCTGCTTGGTGAGGGGAGGGGAAGAAAGAGGAGGAGAGACAGCGGAAGATTGGAGAGAGGCAGATGGGAGAAGGAGGGAAGGAGGGAGAGGGGCGAATGCAGGCAGGGAAGGTGAAGGGGTGGATGCAGGGGAGCAGGGGGGAGGGGCTGACGGCATGAGCAGGGGAGGGGATGATGATATGACGCGCTTTTTGATGGGGAGGGTTGACTGGGAGACGGTTGACCGGGTGGTGTCTCTGGGAGGCAACAGTAGAGCGGTCTCTCATGCCCGTACACGTGATGCTGCTGCTGATATTGATGCTGCTGGTGGTGCTGCTGCTGCCGACACTAATGCTGCTGCCGCTGATACCAATGCTGCTGCTGCTGATACCAATGCTGCTGCTGCTGATACCAATGCTGCTGCTGCTGATACCAATGCTGCTGCTGCTGATACCAATGCTGCTGCTGCTGATACCAATGCTGCTGCTGTTCCAAGCACCACTCAGGATGCCCCTGCTACCACGCCCCTGCTCGTGTCTGCGCATGGACCTGTGGACGAACAAGAACTGCATGGCATGGTGGCTCTTCCAAACAAGCCTCCTGCTACTGCTACCACACCCCTGCTTGTGCCTGCTCGCGCCCCTGCCAGCACGCCCTCGCTCATGTGTGCTCGTGGGCCAGTGGAGGAGCAAGAAGTGCACGGTATGGTGGCATGTGCGGTGCATTCACGTCTGGTGTACCAGCTGGTAGGGAGAGACCCCGAAGGGAGGACAGCACACAGTGATTTCGTGGGGCCGCATGGAGGCACGTTCCAACAGTACTTTCGCAACCAGTGAGTGCGATTCTTTCATATTCTTAAGGAGCGAGCGTCAGAGTCAGTGAGTAACCAGCGCGTGTATGGTGTCCTCCTGGGTGTTGGCTTTGCATAACATGGCATGGTATGGCATGGTGGGTATGCGAGTGAGGGAGTGGGGGGTGCATTTGCGTTAGCTGTACCAGCTAGTGGGGAGGGACCCTGAGGGGAGAGCAGTGCGCAGTGAGTTGGTGTTCGTGGGGCCGCATGGAGGCACGTTCCAAGAGTACTTTCGCAACCAGTGAGTGCACGTACGTCCTTTGAGACGTCTCAAAAGTCGTTCCAAGAGTACTTTCGCAACCAGTGAGTACACGTACGTCCTTTGAGACGTCTCAAAAGTCGTTCCAAGAGTACTTTCGCAACCAGTGAGTGCACGTACGTCCTTTGAGACGTCTCAAAAGTCGTTCCAAGAGTACTTTCGCAACCAGTGAGTGCACGTACGTCCTTTGAGACGTCTCAAAAGTCGTTCCAAGAGTACTTTCGCAACCAGTGAGTGCACGTACGTCCTTTGAGACGTCTCAAAAGTCGTTCCAAGAGTACTTTCGCAACCAGTGAGTGCACGTACGTCCTTTGAGACGTCTCAAAAGTCGTTCCAAGAGTACTTTCGCAACCAGTGAGTGCACGTACGTCCCATCCCTCGATCCTGCCTTGCATGCCCCTCGATCCTGCCTTGCATGCCCCTCGATCCTGCCTTGCATGCCCCTCGATCCTGCCTTGCATGCCCCTCGATCCTGCCTTGCATGCCCCTCGATCCTGCCTTGCATGCCCCTCGATCCTGCCTTGCATGCCCCTCGATCCTGCCTTGCATGCCCCTCGATCCTGCCTTGCATGCCCCTCGATCCTGCCTTGCATGCCCCTCGATCCTGCCTTGCATGCCCCTCGATCCTGCCTTGCATGCCCCTCGATCCTGCCTTGCATGCCCCTCGATCCTGCCTTGCATGCCCCTCCATTAACTCTCACTGCCCACCCAGCAACTGGCAAGTGCACCCAAGCCTTGGCTTGGCCAAGTGCTGTGTATTCCTTTGCTGTCCCCATCCATGCTGTGTATTCCTTTGCTGTCCCCATCCATGCTGCAGGCACGAACTGCGATGCGAGACTTCAGTTCACAAACACCAGAATTTTATACCAAAAGGAAGCCTTGGGTGGGATGCCAAGGTCCTGAGTTCCGACTCAAACCACTAACCCTAAGAGACACCCCGTCCCGTACCCCCTTTCCAGGTATAGCATATCGCTGCAGCACCCCAATCAGCCGATTTTTTAGGCGCCTCAAAAGAATTTGAGGCGCCTCAAAGTTCCGACTCAAACCACTAACCGTAAGAGACACCCCGTACCCCCCTTTCCAGGTATGGCGTATCGCTGCAGCACCCCAATCAGCCCCTGTTCGCTGCATGCCAGCTGAAGCCAGACCTGCGCAATGCACTCCTGCTGCTGCAGATACCACCAGAGTGTAAGTTTCACTGTAAGGAGGAGCTTAAGCGTGCCAGTCATCCTGTCTGTGCTTGCATGTCCTTCCACAGGTAGTGTCTCTTGTATGCATGCAATCAGGGCCTCTCAACCCCCTTCCCCGCTCGTCTCCCTTCTTACACCTGCCTTCATGATCCCCTTGCGTCGCCGCTCTCTCAGTGGACACTTTAGATCTCGTCAACTGGGCGGTCCAATTAGGCCGAGACGAGCAGATGCCTGAACCTGCCAGCGCTACAGTGGGGCCGGCTGTAGCAGACATGGCTGTAGCGGGCAAGGCTGGAGCAGAGACGGTTGGAGCAGACACAATTGTAGCAGACAAGGCTCTGGCTAATGAGGCTGCAGAAGATGAGGCTGTAGCAGACACGGCTGTAGCAGACACGGCTGTAGCAGACAAGGCTGTAGCAGACACGGCTGCAGCAAACTCGGCTGTAGTAGACAATACTACAGCAGAGAAAGAGCAGCAGCAGCAACAAGGCACGGGGGAGGAGGAGGCAGCTAAGGCGCAGCAGCAGGGCAAGGAGAAGGGCAGGGGGCGGCAGACGTCGTACCTCCCTTTGGAGCTACTAGTGCCAGCGCTTCCCTTGCAGCACGTGCTCTTTGCCTCGCTGCTCCCCTCGCTGCTCTCCCGCCTTGACTGCCTGCTCACTGCCCGGGATATTCGGCAGTTCCTTTTGAACCAGTACGGGTGTGAGCATCAGGGGCGCAGCTATGGTGGTGGTGACGAGCGCAGGGAGGGTCAGCAGCAGCAGGAACCTCATTTTCCTGCTATTGATGTGAGTCGCACCTCTGCCCTGCACTGCCCTGCACTGCACTGCCCTGCACTGCACTGCACTGCACTGCACTGCACTGCACTGCACTGCACTGCACTGCACTGCACTGCACTGCACTGCACTGCACTGCACTGCCCTGCACTGCACTGCACTGCACTGCACTGCACCCCCCCGCCCCTCTTCCGCCTGTCTCAGCTGCTGCGCGCCCTCACGTGCCCCGGCACTACGGAGAGCGGAGTTGGGACGTATGAGAGTGCGTGCTGGGTGACAGCTGTGTGCAGCTGAGTGCTGCCGTCAATGCCCCTCAACCACTCCTGTCCACCCACCCACGCACACCGCACCCTGTACCCCATTTCCCCCTCAGCTCCTGCGCGCCCTGACATGCTCCGGCACAACAGAGAGCGACGTGGGAACATACGAGAGCGACGAGGTGCTGGGTGACAGTTGTGTGCAGCTCAGTGTTCCCTCCCATCCCTATTCACCCACCAAGCGAACACCCACCTCCCTTCCCACCCCTGCCTTCAGCTGCTACGAGCCCTGACATGCCCCGGCACAACAGAGAGCGGTGTGGGCACATACGAGAGCGACGAGGTGCTGGGTGACAGTTGCGTGCAGCTCGCTGCCTCCTGCCACCTGTTCGCCACTAGCTTGCCACGTCAGCCGCCGCATGGCGGGCAGCCGCCACAAGGACACGGGCAGAGTAATGGGAACAACGGCTCAGCAGCATACACTGAGAGCAATGCCTCGATGACATCACATGCGTTGCACAGCCAGCCTACCCAGCCGACATATGATGACATGAAGGGGCAGTGCGTGAAGCTGGTGTCAAACAAGCACCTCGCTGCACTGGCAGTTAAAGCCGGAGTACCTGCTCTCGTTCGCTGCAAGCCCTTCAGACCATCCGACTGGATCGGCCCTCTAATCCCACCCTCCCACGCTGTGCTGCTTCTGGCTCACCCCCTTTCTCACTCACTTCCCCCACCACAGTCGCTTTCAGACTCCCTCGCACACACTCAGTCACAAGCAACAGCATCTCCTCCTTCGTCCCCCTCTCGGGCTACTGCAGCTTCCCAGAACCTTCCGCCTTGCCCGAAAGCCCTTTTGGACTCTGCCTTCGCCTCGCTGGTAGCGGCGCAGGCAGCATCCGCCGTCAAGTCAGCGCGCCAGCTCGGCAAGAAGACGCTCGCTGACGTGGCAGAGGCCTTGGTGGGCGCCAGCTGGCGGTGTGGCGGCGCTGACATGGCGCTGCCGGTGCTGAGGTGGCTGGGCGTTCCTACGGAGGGCGTGGGGGAGCTATTGAGGGGAGAGATGACGTGGAAGGGGAAAGAGGCGGAAGGGCTGGTGGAGGGAGGGGTATCGAGAGTTATAGAAGAGCTAGGTGTGGCACTAGGAGCGAAAGCCACGTGTATGAAGAAGTGTTTTCAGACGTCTCAAAACACTTCTTCATACACGTGGAAAGAGGCGGAAGGGCTGGTGGAGGGACGGGTATCGAGAATTGCAGAAGAGCCAGATGTGGCACATCTGGAGCAAAGGGCACTAGGAATGAAAGCAGCAGCGGCAGCTGGAGAAGAGGCAACAGCAGCTGTAGCAGCAATAGTGGCGGCATCACGAGAATCGGAGCTAAGGGTGAGTGGCAGGAAGCATGCGTTGGAGTTACCTGGACAGCCGTCCCTGCTACCGCTTCAGCCGCCAGAGAAACGCTTGAAACTGCTTCAAGGGGAATGCGTGCAGCAGCATCAGGAGCAGGACCAGGAGCTGCCGGAGCTGCGGATCCACCAGACCAGCTTTCTGGAACCTAGGCGCCGCGTGGCAGCAGCTGGTTGGTTGTCGGAGCTGCAGGATGCAATGGGATACCGGTTCAGGGATGAGGGGATACTGAGGGAGGCGATAAGTGAGGGGGAGTTGAAGTGGGAGAGGCGGTTTGTGTTCCTGGGGGAAGCTGTGCTGGACTTTCTAGTCATGCATCACATGGTGCGAGCAACATTTGGAGCGGCCCATTCTCCTGCTGCCACGTCACCGCATGCCACGTCATCACACACTGCCCGGCCGTCCCCGCACCAGCTGACGAACCTGCGCAAGGCCGTGATCCACTCGGAGCGGTTCTGCCAGCTGGCGGCGCCACGTGGGCTGCTGCGATTGGTGCGCATGATACAGCGGGCGGCAAAGGCTGCTGCTGATAGGGCTGCTGCTGATACAGCTACTGCTGATAGGGCTGCTGCTGATAGGGCTGCTGCTGATAGGGCTACTGCTGATAGGGCTGCTGCTGATAGGGCTGCTGCTGATGCTGCTGATTCGGCTGACAGGGCTACACAGGAGAGGAGTGTTGAGGAGGTTGGGGGGGTGGGGCAGAGGATAGAGGAGAGGACGGATGAAAGGGTGAATGCCAGTGGTTCTAGCCACATGAATCCTGCTCACACAGACTCCACTCACCTGGGTTCTGCTTTAGTAAATCCGACTCCCATGGGCTCTGCTCCCATTAACACTCGCCTGAATGGCCTAAGAAGTCATCGCGATGCCATGGAGGTTGACAAGGAGGATGATGTTGATGATGCCAATTATGTTGATGATGGAGGGCAGAAGCCGTTTCCTAAGGTAACTACTTCCCACCAAGGAACCATGTAACCATGTAACCACGTTGCCGTAACCATATGACTATGTCGTGTAACCATATGTAACCCTAAAACTGGTGTCAGAGCTTCCAGTGATACCGGAATTTTTTTTTACCTTCACCATTCCTCTTTCCTCTACTTGCCTCCCTCTTCCCTCCTCCCCTCGTTGCTCCCCTCCCATCAGGATGTCTCTGATCTCATCAAGGCCCTCACAGCAGCAGTCTTCCTCGATTCCACTCTTGCAAACTCCTCCCCCACCACACTCAACCCCCGCGCACCTCTCAATCCCCCATGCCCTCTCACCCGCACGTGGCAAGTGGTTTCTTCGTGGCTCTCCCCCATCCCTCTGCTGCATCCCCTCTCCCTCCACCCCCCCTCCGCCCTGCTCCTCTTCTGCTGCGCCCTCGCCCTCCCTGCTCCCATCTACCTGCCCAGGGCGGAGGGGGGCGGGGGAGGGGGGGAGCAGTGGGGTGGAAACTGGGGGGAGGGGTGGGGGGAGGAGTGTGGGGGAGAGTGGGGGAAAGGGGAGGGAGGGGAAAGGGATGGGGATGGGGATGGGGCGTGGAAGGACGAAGAGGGTGGGGAAAGGGAGGGGGGGATGGTGTGTGGAAGAGACGTGGAAGGTGGAGGAGGGGAGGATGGGGAGGGGGGAGAGGAAAATGGGCTGTTTGAAAAGGGCGTGGGGGTGAGAGAAGGAAGTGGTGGAGGAGGGGGAGGGGAGGGGGAGGGGGAGGGGGTGGTAATGGAAGTGGAGGTGAGAGGAGTGGTGCTGGGGGAGGGGTGGGGGGTGGATGATGTAGCAGCAACGGTGGAAGCAGCTTCTGGCGTGCTGAGGAGGGCCAAGGTGAGTGTAATTGTGTGAATGTAAAGAAATGGTACGCAGCTTCTCACAAATACCTCTGGGATATGAAGAGGTGAGTGTGAAGAGGTCAAGGCTGGCGTTTGCAGGGATTGCAGGGGGGGTGTGGATGACGTGGCAGCTACTGTGGAAGCTGCAGGTGTAAAGGCAATGAAAGGCGAGTGGTCAGACTGTCAGGGTGCTAAATACACACACACACAGACACACACACACATGCGTACACACACACGTGCGCGCACACACACACACACACACACACACACACACACACACACACACACACAAAAGCTGTTGGGGTGCAAGTAGGCTTTCAAAATATAGCTGGTTCTTACATGAATCCTTTCCCGTTCCTTTCCTCCCTCTCACCGCACCCCAGTCTGTGCAGGGCTTCAGGCAGCTGTACCAGGAGGCAGAGGGGATGCGCGCGCTGGGGGCTATGAGGGCCGCATGGGAAATGCAGGCAGAGGAAGGAGAGGCGGGAATAAAGGAGGGTGAAGCGGGGAAGGAGGCAGGAGGAGGAGAAGGTGTAGCGGGGATGGAGGGAGTTCAGCCTGAGGGTGGCTTGAATAATGGAGGAAATGGTGATGGCAATGGTGGGCAGGGGAAGGCAGCAGGGAAGAAGAGGAAGCGAGGGAAGTCTGGAAAGGTGGTGGCAGCAGCAGTGGGAGGCGGAGACGCGGCGGCACTGGGAGGGGAAAATACGATAGGTTCGGCTGCTCCAGGCGCCTTAGTTGGGCCCCGAGGCTGTGAGCCAGGCCCGGCAGCTATATCTGCCCTGAATCACACGTGCATGGCGCGGCGATGGACGGCAGTGTACAGTGAGAGAATCATATCTTCAACTGCACACACCAAGGCTGCCTTAGGCAGTAACGGATCAGCACAATGTGGGACCACTGCTGGGGGTGATGCTGCTGCTGCTGCCACAGTCGCTGGGAACGTTACAGTGGACGGTGGTGGATCTACCGATGGTGGTGTTATCAATGGTGGAGATTCCACCGTTGGTTGCTCTACCAGCCTTGCTGCTTATGGTGGTGGTGGGGAGGCAGTTGGTGGTGCCAGCTGTCAACCTGCTGGTGGAGATACAGGCGCTTCCAGGTATGTGCCGTAACTTCTCGTGCCTTAGCCACCTTGTAGTGGATGGATACACAGCCACCTTAACAGCTGTCCAATTACTGGATTTTTTTATCCTCGTTAATTCTTTTCTTTCTTTTTTGACATTGCAGCTTTTGCATGGATTGTATGGTTAAATCAAGTGACGGCTCGACAGTGGTCCATGTTGAAGGTAGATCAATGCCTTCGAAAAAGGCAGCAAAACAATGGACAGCAGCAGCCGTGTTACAAGCCCTGGCCTCCAGAGAGTGGCCTGCTAGCGCCAATATGCTTTTGTAGGTTTCAGTTCATGGTGGTGTTGGTAATGGAACAGGGTTGGTGTAAGTTATGAGAGTGGTTGGAATAAAACTGTGTATACAGCTGGGACTTGCAGCAGCGAGTATGTCAGGTTTTTCCATTTTCCCGCCAATTCTTTCCATGTCAAAGGAGACCAGCTTCAACCAATGAGGGGTGCAATTGTTTCGAGCAAGCTGTCGTCTTGCTGCATGGGAGGAAAGCTCAACTCTTCACTCGATTTCGGTCTTCATAGGAGATGCGAGCATGGAGCAACGCATGTCGCCATACCTTCACCACCTCACCAGACACACAAGCTTGCGTTTACGCATTTTCCAAGGTCTTTCTGCTCGTGCCAGGCATGGCCTCCGAGCTTATCTCCAGTCAACGCTTAGTCACCGGGTTTAGTTGCGCTAAACTTAATCCTAGTCGCGCCGGACCGTCTAGCACTAACGGCTGCGTGACGTTGTTCCGTGAAGGCCCGACGACATTAGGACGTCCCGATGAAGAGCGTTCTAGGCGAATTTGGCGAAGCTTTTCTTCGCGAACAGACTTGCTGGTGTCGCAGCAGCATCCTGTGGTTTCCAGTTGCGTGTCCGGCTCGACCTCTTTGAGACTTTCGCAAACCAGGCGAAATAGGAAAGCGCATCCCAGTGTTCGGGTAAAGAGCCACCTTATAACGAACCACCTCATTGTGTCTAATCCAGGAATGCAGCCGCTGGTAGCGGCTCTCAGGATAATTTCTGTAAATAATTTTGTCCATCAGAGTAGGCATCAGGCTTTTCGATCTTATATTGGATCCCGTTTACCGGGTACGACGAGGATTGGGGGTGTTTCCGGTTTTGGGTCACTGAGAAGACCGGAATCGGGGGTGAGCCCTTTCACGGGGACGACAAACGGCGGAGATGCGATCAGACACGCGTCGTTACACTCCGCGAGGTTACGAGCAGCCAGTTCGTTCGGTGGTCGTTCTGGTAACGAGCCGTCCCTTAGCGAGGACGGAGAGGTAGCACCAGCGACGTTACCCGATCCGCGGCGTGGCGAGAGTCAGCAGAAGCAGCAGCACCAGCAGCACCAGCAGGACCACCAGCAGCAGCACCCCCACCAACACCCCCTTCTGGGCCTGCTGCCTTTCCTGCGTCCCTTCCTCCCCCTCGTCCTCCGCGCGTGGCTGTGCACCGCCGTCGCCCTCACCTCGCTGCTCCTCTTCATCCCCCGCTTCGGCGCACTCACCACCCTCCTCGCTCAAGGTGAATTCCCAAGGTGACCCAATGTGATTTTCCAATGTGGGACAGGCTGGTCTGGGGCAGGCTGATCAGAGGCAAACTATCCTTTCCCTTTGCCCCCCACCCTCCCCTCCCCACCCCACCCCCCCTCCCCCTCCCCTCCCCTTCCCACCCCACCCCCTCCCTCCACCCTCCCCCCCACCAGGCGATCTCCGGGCTCTCACCCGTGCGACAGGTGTCGTGCTGTTACTGGTGGGAGCGCGGTCGGCAGCGACGTACTGGCAGGACGCGTGGCTGTGGGAAGCAGCGAGCGGCGTCACTCTCGCCGTGCGCTCCCAGGCGTGGCACCACCTGCTGGGGGCTGATCTGGGGTTCTTTGAAGGGCGAGGGGGAGGGAAGGCCGCAGGTCGGGGCAGTGGGCGCGGAGGAGGGGGAACAGGTAGGAAGGGAGGAGGTGGAGGGGGGAGGGAAGGGGTTGAAGAGATGGAAACCAGTGGGCCAGGAGAGGCAGCAGCTGTACCAGGGGATGCAGTAGCAGCAGGGCCAGCGGCTGTAGCCGCAGGTTCGGCAACTGTGGCAACTGAACCAGCGGCTGTAGCAACAGGTTCAACGGCTGTAGCGACGGGGGACCTGGTTTATCGGTTGACAGCGGAGGCGAGGGAGGTGGGCGAGGTGGTGTTTGCGGTGCTCAAGGCGGCGGTGCCAGCTGTCTGCCAGGTGGCAGTCATGCTGACGCGGATGGTCCAGCTCAGCCCGGTGATGACGCTGGCCACTCTGTGTGTGAGTGGGTGACACGTGGACTGGTGGTAACAGCACTTGGTATTAGCATTGGTATTAGCATTGGTATTAGAATTGGTATTAGCATTGGTATTAGCATTGGTGTTAGCATTGGTAATAGCATTGGTAATAGCATTGGTAATAGCATTGGTAATAGCATTTGGTAATGGCATTGGTAATGGCATTGGTAATAGCAGTGGCAATAACAGCAGTGGCAATGCCAGAAAAGTCCTCCTTCTTTTCCCTCTCTTCCCGCTCTTCCCTCCCACCATCATACCAGGTGGTACCACTCATGTCAATGATCATCGCCACGCTAGGAGAAAGAGTCCGCCGCGTCTCCTCAGAAGCGCAGGCCTCTGTGACAGCCGTCTCAGTGCGAATCACGGAGGTCATCCCAGCCATGCTGCTGCTCCCTGTGACCCTTCCACGCTTCCCTTGTTTCAATATCTTCCCTCTATTCTCCAGTCTTACCACCTCCACCCCATCCCAGGTGGTACCACTCATGTCTGTCATCATCGCCACGCTCGGCGAAAGAGATCGCCGCGTCTCCTCCGAAGCACAGGCATCCATCGCAGCCCTCTCAGCACGAATCACCGAGGTCCTCCCAGCCATGCTGCTCGTCAAGGCGCACGCAGCCGAGCACTACTGCTAGTCGTCCCTGTGACCCCTCCATACGTCCCTTCCCCGTGCCCATTTCCGCTGAAGTCTAGTGTCCACTCCGCCTGTGCTCCCTCTCCTCCCTCCCTTCCCTTTCCCTGCTCTCCGCCCTCTCTCACCAACCCCATTTCAGGTGGTACCACTCATGTCAGTCATCATCGCCTCGCTAGGAGAGAGGGTCCGCCGTGTCTCCTCAGAAGCCCAGGCATCCATCGCAGCCCTCTCAGCGCGGATCACCGAGGTCCTCCCGGCCATGCTGCTCGTCAAGGCGCACGCAGCCGAGCCGTACGAGGCGCTCCTGTTCCGCCACCTGGCGGAAGCTGATAGGTCCGCGCGGCTGCGCAACAAGCGGCTCAAGGCGCTGTTTCCAGAGGCTATCACGGCGGCGTATGCGGCGGCGGTGGTGGTGCTGTTTGGAGTGGCCACGTGGGCAGTGGGGCAGGGCGGGCTCACTGGGGCTGGGATTGTCTCCTTCTTTACATCACTCGTACTTCTTATTGAGCCCATTCAGGTGAGGGGGCGTTCAGGACTTCCCTGAGTCTGTTCTGCGGGGTTGTGACTGAGGGAATGAGGCTGAAACAGAGGTCAGGGACTGGGATTGTGTCTTTCTTCACGTCCCTTGTGCTACTGATCGAACCCATTCAGGTAAATGGCTGAAAGCACAGGGCCTGAAATAGGGGAGAAGATTTGGAGTAGGGAAGAAGAGGCGATTGTTGTTTCCAGAGGCCATCACGGCGGCGTGTGCGGCGGCGGTGGTGGTGCTGTTTGGAGTGGCCACTTGGGCCGTGGGGCAGGGCTGGCTTACCGGGGCAGGGATCGTGTATTTCTTCACGTCCCTTGTGCTACTGATTGAGCCCATTCAGGTACCTGGCTGAAAGCACAGGGCCAAAAATAGGGGAGGAGATTTGGAATCGGGACGAAGAGGCTCAGCTCTCAAGCCGCTGTTTCCAGAGGTGATCACGGCGGCGTATGCGGCGGTGGTGGTGGTGCTATTTGGAGTGGCCACGTGGGCCGTGGGGCAGGGCGGGCTAATGGGTGCCGGGATTGTATCCTTCTTCACCTCGCTTGCTCTCCTCATCGAACCCATTCAGGTGAAAAGAAGAGAGTCCGAGCCTGTTCTAGGGATCAGTGGCTGAACTTTCTGGGCTGAAAGTGCGGAGCCTGATATAGGGAAGGGGTCACCGAGTCAGGGAGGGCTCACCATTCAGGGTTTAGAGAAGGATTGTCTCCTTCTTCACCCCCACCCATTCAGGTGAGTGCAGATGAGACCGTTCCGAGATACCCACTTTCAAGTACGGAGAAATGAGAGCTTTCAGGGCCTGCCTGGGCCTGGTCTGGGGACAGGGTGCTGAAATTAGGGAGAAGATGAAGAGGTGGAAGCAGGCAGTGCGTTCGTAGAGCTGAAGCAGGCCCAGCCAGCCAGCCATGAAACGAGGGCTGACAGAGTCTCTCAAGCAAAACTACCCTAGTCCACTTCCTCTCACCACTCCGTTTATTCTTTTTTTTGCCTCCCTCAGGCAGCGGGCAGAGCATTCAACGAGCTGAAGCAGGGGCGGTTAGCCATTGAACAAGTGCTGACACACTTTGTGGTACCTACCCCACTCAACCCCCGCGCACCACTCTTTCTGTCCCTCTTACTCGTTATTCCATTCTCTTTCTTATTCTCCTCCCTACCCCAGGCAGCAGGCACTGCATTCAACGAGCTGAAGCAGGGCCAGCCAGCCATTGAACGTGTGCTCGCCCTCACACGCTTGAACCCACCGCATTCCACCGCTTCCCACTCCTCCTCCTCCTCCTCCTCCTCCTCCTCCTCCTCCTCCTCCTCCTCCTCCTCCTCCTCCTCCTCCTCCTCCTCCTCCTCCTCCTCCTCCTCCTCCCCCCCCTCCCCCTCCTCCTCCTCCTCCCCCTCCCCCACCCTTCAAGAAGTGGAGAAAGACATTGGAAGGCTAGAGGGAGACATTGAGTTCCAAGGGGTGTGCTTTGACTATGGCTTACCGATGGAAATGGGATCACCGATAAAAGACAGGTCTCAATCAGAAGCACCGGTAGCAGGAGATGCCACGTTACCTGCAGCAGCAGCAGTGCCAATAATCCCAGCAGCCCCAGCAGCCCCAGCAGCAGCCGCAGCAGCAGCAGACGCAGAAGCAGGTTCAGGTTTGAAGTCCCGTGTGTTGTCTGACGTGTCGTTCCGGGTGAGGCGGGGTGAGACAGTGGCTGTAGTGGGCCCGTCTGGAGGGGGCAAAAGCTCCCTGCTCAAGCTTCTCTTGAAGCTCTACCGTCCCTCTGCAGGTCAGGCCTCATGGCCAGGTGAGGTGAGGTGAGGTGAGGTGAGGTGAGGTGAGGTGAGGTACGGTCAGATCACATGCTGAAGGTGTACGGTCAGGTGAGCTGCATGGAGAGCCGAGGGGAGGTGTGGTCCGGTCGGGTCGGGTCGGGTCGGGTCGGGTTGGGTTGGGTTGGATTGAGTCGTGTTTGGTCGGGTTGGGTCCAGTAAGGTCACAAGATCAGGCTGTACCGCCCCACTGCAGGTGAGGTGGCATGGTGCAGTGAGGTGAGGTGAGATGGAGAGTGGGAGAGTGTGGGAAATTGAGTTTCATGGCTCTCTCATAACCCATCACCACCTCTGCTGTGTCCATTCCCCCTGTTTATGCTTCTTCTATCCTCTGCTATCAACTGCTCGCCTCTGCTGACCTCTACTGGCCCCTGCTGGCTCCTGCTGGCCCCTGCTGGCCTGTAATACCCTCGTATTGGTCTCTACGAAACAAATCTTAGACTGCTTGGTTTGGCTCGTACTTGTACCTGTATGGCAGGCTGCATTCTGCTGGACGGCCAAGATCTTGCATCGTGCTCTGCAACCAGTGTGCGCCGTCAGATTGGCTTCGTGCCACAGGAAACGGTGGGTGCCGGTGTGGTGGTGGTTGGGAGTGATGGTGCGAATGGAATGATGGTTGGGAACGGTGGGTGCCGATGTGGTGGTGGTTGGGAATGATGGTGGATGGAATGATGGAGTGATGGTTGGGAGTGATGGAGGAAGATAACGAGGCTTCTTTTCTGGGTGCTGCGAGTGACAAGAAAGACGTGTCTTGGCCTATCTGCTTCTGCCCATCCCCTCTCCACTCTCCTCTTCCCTCTCTTCTCTGCCCTCTCTCCTCTCCCGTCCCCCTTCTCTCCTCTCCCCTCTCTCCTCTCCCTTCTCTTCTCTCCCTTCCCTCCTTTTCTCACTTCTTTTCCCTCAACCCCCCCCACCTGACTTGTCTCAGGTTCTTTTTTCGGGCACGGTGGCGCAAAACATTGCATACGGGCATCTGGAATACCTCTCCTTGGAAGCTTCCAACCTGCCCGGAAAGGCAACAAATTTGGCAATGGTGGAGCGAGCTGCCCGCCTTACCAACGCACATGAATTCATTTCTGCTCTGCCCGAAGGCTACTTCACCCAGCTGGGCCCGCGAGGGGCGTCTCTCAGTGGCGGGCAGAGGCAGAGGTACGAAACAGAAGTTGTTTTTGTTCCAAAATGTCGCTTGTTGTCTCGTTGTTTCCAGGTGCCTAGCATGTCCAGGATTCGGTTTCCTTCTTTTGGCTTCCTTTCCTTAAGGTGCCTGAGTCAGCATGTGTCTCCATGTGTTTATTTCCACTCTAAAACCAGCAAAAAACCAGTTGTGAGGTGCATCCATGCTCGAACCTCACACCAAGCCTGTCATCGAACCTAATGCCGATCCTCACTCTGTTCCAACACCATTTCTGCCAGGCTGGCCATCGCCCGAGCCATCTTCAATGACCCTGCCATCTTGGTCCTGGATGAAGCCACGTCAGCACTGGACAGCCAATCAGAGGCTCTCGTTCGCGACGCTCTGCGCCGCCTCATGGTTGGGCGAACGGTGCGTGTGTGGTGTGTGTGTGGGGGGGAAAATGGCGCAAGGAAAGGGTGGACGGAGTGGATGGTGGGGGGGGGGGGGGGGGGGGCAGCACTCTACTCCACCTCATGTCTGGCTGAACGGTGCGTGTGTGGAGGAGGAGTGGGGGGGTGGGGAGATGAGGAGAGGGGAGGGGTGGGGAGATGAGGAGAGGGGAGGGGTGCAGGAGGAGATGGTGTGTTGGAGAGCAGGGGAGGGGGACTGGGACTGAGACAGGTGTGGAGAGGAAGGGGTAGGTTAATGACTTGGGCAAAAGTTGGGGGAAATTACACTGGGGGCACGAACGGATCTCTCTGTCCTCTCATGTGTTATTCACTGCAGTCTCTCCCTTTTCTTATTAGGCTAACTTCCTCATTCTCCCATCGTTCTCCCAGCATTATCCCCCTTCTTCCTCGTTCCCCCTTTTAATTCCCACCCTCATCAGGTGATTTTGGTGGCACACTGGCCTGCAGCCATTGCTGATGCTGACCGGGTTCTACTGGTGGAGAAGGGGCAAGTCACGGAAATTACAAACTCAACTTCCTGTGCGCTCGCTCACCTTCTCCCCACGGTGTTTGCTCCCTCACTGAATGGGCCGACTTGCACGTTTTTATTCTCCCCTCCATCAGGTGATTTTGGTGGCACACCGGCCTGCAGCCATTGCTGATGCCGACCGGGTTCTCCTGGTGGAGAATGGCAGAGTCACGGAAATCACGAAAAGTGGCCACATGGGTTTCCCTGAAGAATCGTCTGCACGAGGATTGCCTGCAATAAATGGAACATTCTTGGATGGAATAGCTGATCAATTGGATGAATTTTGTGACACTGGGACATTAGCAGGATGGTGTGTGTCTAGAGATGAAGATTCCTCCCTTGAGCCCCAGATGGGACCACCTAAAGAAAGAACCCTTGACTGAATACTGATGATTAATATTCTGGTAGTTTATTGTAAGTCATGTTGGTCCTCAAGTTGTATCTACATGGGTTGAACTTAATTCAGATTATATGAAAACTACCGGTATATGGAATCCATTTTACGTAAAACACATCCCACCCACTGCTCAAAATAAAACTGGTAATATCTCACTTCCTCCATTTGTTAGTGGATGCTGGAGAATTGTGCATCTTGTTAGAAACGCCATATGTTGCAAAAAAGTTTTACATTGCATGGATAGTGACGTTCAGCTATTAGTAGTGTAACACTGGCGACAGCGTCTTCCCGGAGACGCGCCTAATGAGGAAATAAAGGTTGCTTGCTGCCACACTTGATTCCATCCCAACGCGCAAGGCGAGAGCTGTCTCCCACCCGCATCCACCCTCGCGGCGCAGAATTGACCACCAGCCGAGCCGAGTCGCGAGGCGCAACAACGACTGCCTACCGTACGGTCCCCCCCCCACCCATCTCATCCCACCCTTCAATTTCAGAAATCTGGAAATTCACACTCAACCGAGTTGTAGGCGCCGCAATCAATTTCGTAACCAAAATGAACCCTACCCAAGCGTTCTCGCTAAAATACAGACCGCTCTACCACGCAACACATCTCTCCCCATCGCATTCATGTGTATTGAGGCTGGCACACACATCACTCCACAAGCACAGCAGCCCCACTCGCCACCTAGTTTAGCACCATCCCTTCCCCTGAAGGTACCTTCCTCCACCTCCATACCTGTGCATCCCGCGCCTTTCCTTCCTCATGTGTACGTTCTTGTAGGTTCTCCTGGGCAAGTACGCCTCATTTTTCTTCATCTCCTTGGATTTTTCTATAAAGCCCGCACAGGCCAGGTTCTCAGGCCAAGTTCTCAAACCAGGTTCTCAAGCTACCTTTAGGTGTCGTTACTGAGATTGTACTGCTCCCTTGTGTTACTACAACCCAGATTTATACACTAGCTGGTGCCAGATTGACCCATCAAATCCGACCGCTTTTTTAGGAGAGTCTATAATTACTCGGCCCCTTTAATGCGATCGACTCCAGAGTCTTTCCAGAATTTTAGGCGCCTCGAGCTCGGAGCTAGTAAGCTACAGCGCATGATGGACCGGCAAGCTGTTTTCCTCTGCTTGTCGATCTCCCTCCTGCTCCTCCTAACCTCCTCGCCGCAATTCACGCCGCGCGTGGCGGCGCAAGCGGAATACTCGGGGCGGCTCGCGTATCTGCGGATCGTAGACGCGTTAAAGAGCAAGGGCTACTCGATCGCGCTCGACGGACTCGGCATCTCGGGACTGAACGACACGCTGATCAAGCTCCTCCCGACGAGAAACGTGACGATTCTCGTCCCCACTAACGGAGCGTTTTACAAGCTGACGGCGGCGCCGTGGAAGGGACTGAAAAAGACGCCCGACAAGCTCCGTCAGATCCTCGCGTTCCACACGCTGCGCATGCGGATGCGCGCCGCGGAGATTAGAGAGCTACCGGTTGGAACCACGGTAAGGGGGGGCGTCGTGGAATTATCAAAAGACTTTTCTGGCAGGCGCTTTGTTTCTCCCTCTCCCTTTCTCTCCGTCTCTCAGTTTCTCGCTTTCTCTCGCTCGTTCTGTAACTTCCTGTGGACCTCAGCTCTCTTTCCTCCCCCACCTCCTCGTCTTTTCGCCCCACGACTCACCAATCTCAGGCTCCTACCCTAGACTTCGAGTTTAGCTTGGCACGAATCAAAGACGCGCGCTTGTTGAGTCGACTAAAAATCCTCATACTTCCTTCCCTCCCCACGTTTCACCTATCGCAGGTTCCTACCCTAGACTTCGAATTTACCATGGCACGAATCAAAGACGCACGGCCGATCATGGGTGCTGCCAAAGGGTCGAAAATTGGCGCTTCGATTGTCGACCCTAATGTGTATTCAGACCCGCGTGTGATAATACACGGTGTGAACATGGTGGTTATGCCGCCCAAGCTATATTAGGGCGAAACTGTTGCGAGGAATAACAAATCGAGCTTAGGCCTCATGCCTCATTAGGTAATAGAGCTCGTTTATTGGTCCAGTAGTGAGCATAGCAGTATGCGAACATGCTTTCTCTTGCAATCAATAATTAATATCTACAATAGTATCATTACAAAGTTCCAACTAACCAAATGCGCTCACTCGCACAGTGTGAAGGCACGGACGGACTACAACCTCTAACCGCAGACTACCCCTTCCATCACCCTTTCCCATCCATCACTTCTAATCTTGGGTGGGATGATGACAGTATCTACCCCATGCACGATCCACATACAGGTCTCCAGCAATTTATCTCCGTTCCTCCAGAGGCCCCCATCCATCACTTCGCAATTTTGGGTGGGATGATGACAGTGTCTACCCCGTGCACTATCACCTGCGGATCCACATACAGGTCTCCAGCGACAATTTGGAGTCCCCCGGTAGCTCCAAGCTTGGTGAACCTTGCTGGCTTGGTGTCTGACTTGCGCATCACATACTTGTAATCCAGAGTGGCGAACTGCAGGAGCAACAAGGGAGAGACAAGGAAGAGGAAAGCAATTATCACACGTCCCTCAGAAGCCCCCTCCTCGGTGAAAGTTGCTGGCTTAGTGCCTGACTTGCGCATCACGTACTTGTAATCCAGAGTGGCGAACTGCAGGAGCTCAAGGAAAAACAGGAGGGAGAGGGAAGGAAACAATGATTCCTCAGGAGCCCCTTCCTTGCTGGCTTGGTGCCTGACTTCCTCATCACATACTTGTAATCCAGAGTGGCGAACTGAGAGCGAGATGGGAGAGGGGGAGAGGGGGAGAGGGAGGGGGAAGGGAGGAATCAAGGAATAATTACAAGTCCCCCAAAAGCTCCAAGCTCGGTGAATCTTGCTGTTTGGTGCCTGAATTCCTCATCACATACTTGTAATTCAGGTTGCCAAACTGCAGGAGCAAACGAGAAGGAGAGGAAAAGGGTTGTGGAATCAAACTCTTTTGATAATCAAACCCCTAACCGAACCACCTTGCTATAGTGTCGCATGCATGGGAGGTGGAGGGATGGAGGGAGGGGGGCACGGGTATGTGCTTGTTTAGCACGAGGTTAAACTAGCATAGCTTAAAGCACACCGAGAAAAAAATGCAGTGAAAGTAGTCGCAACCATACCTGTATTCCCACTTTAAGTCCCTGCAGCGTGGAGTTGGAAAATTGCTGCTTGACAACATGGAAGGACACGACCTGGTGCTAATAATGCCATGCTCCGTTCTCACCTGCCTGCCCACTTTAACCGCCTGAAGCGTGGAGTTCGAGAATCGCTGCTTGAAGACGTGAAACGCCATGACCTGGTGCTAATACTGCCGTGCCTCTCACGTCTACGCTGTTCTCACCTGCGTGCCCACTTTAACCGCCTGGAGGGTAGTGTTGGAGAAGCGCTGCTTCCAGACGTGGAACGCCATGACCTGCAGCAGCGCTTTTGGATTCTTCTTGAGCTTCGAGTATTGGAAGCTGCCCGTGAGCTTGCTAAACGCACTGTTGCGCGGCACAAGCACCGTCATTTGCGAGGTTGGCAGGTACTGCTTGAGTGTGTTGTTGAGGCCTGGGGGAGGGTGGGCGGGGGAGGGGGGAAGAGAGATGGGGGAGGTGAGAGAGAGAGAGAGACACACACATATGGCGACTTGAGGAAGAGACGGCACGAGCACCGTCATTTGCGAGGTTGGCAGGTACTGCTTGAGCGTGTTGTTGAGACCTGATGACGAGTGGGGGGATGGGGGGTGATGGGGAGAGGGAGAGAGACAGAGTGACATGAGAGAGAGGCAGCACCAGCACCGTCATATGCGAGGTTATCCTCACCAATTGGCAGTACTGCTGGAAAGGTGTTGTTCAGGCCTGGGAGAAAGCGAGGGGGGTTGAGGGAGGTGCGAGAAACACGGGGACATGAGAACGAGAGAGGGGGAGAGGAGAGGGGGGAATTGGGATTGGTAGGAAGAGAGCGCACAAGCACGGTCATCATGGGAGTAGATAGAAGCGAGAGAGAGCGAGGCGCAACAACGGTCGTATCGCGCTGCGCGGCACCCTAACGGTCGTGTGTCGCACTGCGCGGCACCCTAACGGTCGTATCATTCTGCGCGGCACCCCAACGGTCGTATCGCTCTGCGCGGCGCCACAACGACAGTCGGCTCGAGTCACCTTAGAGTCATCGCGTGACGGATCGGCTATGGTAGGCTGCCGACTCGCCTCGGTAATAGCCCCTTCCGCGAACCGCTTTCATGCTACTAACCGCAAAATTACTACTCCCCTGTCATGGAATGCATGTCGCCGTTACCCGCATGACCCTGCTAACGGTCTGTACCCCTTACTTGGAGTGACTTTTGAGAATTCTCAAAAGTCACTCCCTTACCAGCTTGCCCTCTCTACCGGCTGGACCCCTAGCCGACTGGCTTCCCTAACCGCCTGCTCACCTTACCAGCAATTTTACGACTCAACGTTTCCGAGTCGGCACTAGAAATCAGCTGCTCGCGTTACCGGCAACCAGCCGTCGAGTTTTGCGATGTCAATACCCTAACTAGCGGGTTCCCGTAATCGGCTGCCTCACCTTTACCGCAGCTTTCGACTCACCAGACGTCTGCCACGCGGCGAGAGCCGTGCTGTAACCCCTCTTTTTAAGCTTCGCTACCATCTGCTGGTAGCCAGTATAAGCCGACGCGACTTGCACGAGGCATAGCACGCTGACGACAGCAGCAAAGACGAGAAGCAACGCCGGGCGTCTTCGTGATGCTCGATCCATAGTGAGCGAAACTTTATGAAAGACGTTCGCGGAACTTCGCAAAAAAGACGTAAATGAAAGTGACAGGTGAGTATCTAGAAGGTAGTCTCGTTGTATACGAGTTCTCCTGAAATGCAGTGGGGATGTTGAGGGACTATGGGGCAGTCGTTAACTACAGTGACTTTGAGACAATCCTAGAGTGGTAGCGTCAAACCAAGGGGTAAGTGCCTGCGGTGGAGATTACCTCTCTTCCAGTGGCTTGAAACACGAACAGACTGTAGGAGCAAACAACGTGACAAAGCGACGGGAGAAACTAGATTACCAGACCAAGTTATCCGACCAGCATTACGTGGGGAGGAGATGAACTGGACGTTACTGATTGTGACGGTTGTCTTGACTGCTTCTGAATGCATTTTGTTTGTTGGGAGGGAAGCTTGCTTGGGAGAGCTGAGCTGACGCGGATGGGCCGAATTGGCGCGGCGGCAGCAGCGGCACGATGGGGGGATGAACAGCAACACAGGTCAGGGAGTGTTGGGGGGCTGAGGAAACATGTTTGGATGAGAATGCGACAGCAAGTGTTGGGGTTCGGATGGTAAGGATGCGGTGATAACGGGCGTTGTGGGTTTTCGATGGGCTGGAACGGTGGAAGAGTTGTGCGGGATGGAGCAACGACTGGTCACTGGAGTGACGAGCAGGCGGGGCGAGCAAAGCATCGCTAGAAGCTTCCAATCGTGGGGTGGGGGGGGGAGGTAGGTGTATGGGGAGGAACGAGGCGCGAGGAGGAAGAGGTTTGGCTTGGCCTGACCGGTTCGTTCGTTCGGTTTGGCGGCCCAGACGTGTCACCTTGTCGGTGGCTGTTTCAGGAGCACGTCGGTTATCGGGGCTGGCTGGAGCCCAGCGTGCGCAGTACAGTGGACTGTCGGTTGTGTTTCCCAACTAGGGAAGTTGGGTCGGGCTGTACAATACAGTACAGTGGCTTCCAGGGTATATCAGGCAATGCCTTGGTGCCACGTCCTGGAGCAACATCCGTGAACATAGCTCTTTTTCCAGGCGAATGTCAGAAATCGTTACAATCCTTGCTGTGGGCGGATTACAGCGCGTATACCGAAAGCACCAGCAATTGTGGCTCGACCAACCATATAGGGTCCCAAGCCAGCCACTGCCGAGACCCGAACCGCCACCGTACCCCGTGTCAAAACCTAACGAGCCGAAGCTGCTCACCAAGCCACAATTTCAGCCTCCATTCATTCGATTCATTCTAATCAAACGGGGAGTGATTTCGTTAGTGTGCAGTAGTTTCTCCTCCTGTATTTGTATCCAGAAACCTAGCTTACCAGTTGAACTAAATTGCTTGAGACAGAAGGTACCGTGATCCTGACATAAGGCATTGCCAAACATCGTTCTTGCCACAGGTGCGCTGTCACTTATGCATATGTGCATTAGACCATAGTAATTGGAATAAGGAACACCATAAATCACTCCTAATATGTTACCCCCTGCACTCGATAAAAACATTCGCATTGTACGTGGGAAGGGAACAAATTATATGCTACCCTTCTCTTTTTCCAATCGTTTATAGGATCTTGGGTGGGATGATGACGGTATCAACGCCATGCACGATAACCTGCGGGTCGACATACAGGTCTGGTTGAACAATTTGAAGCCCTCCCGTAGCTCCAAGCTTGGCAAACCTTGCCGGCTTGGTACCCGACTTCACCATCACAAACTTGTAATCCAAGGTGGCGAACTGAAGGCGCAAGAGGGAAGGAAAGAGTGGAGATAAGAAATCTCGAGTCCAAGGCCCTTTCGTGATTTACCCTGCTGGCTAGGTGCCTGTTTTCACCATCACAAACTTGTAATCCAGGGTGCCAAACTGCAGGTGCAAGAGGGAAGGAGAGGGAGGGGAAAAAAACTATGATCCCAAGTCACTCAAAAGCCCCTTTCTTATCAACTTCCACTTGCATGCTTTTGGTACTACCTGCCTGCCCACATTAACAGCCTGCAGAGTGGAGTTGTACCAACACCTGTTTTCCTCTAACGGCATCAAGAGAAATCATCAGTCTTACTTTCAAGGCTTCCTTTCGAGCACCTCTTCCTACCTGAACGCCCCCCACTTTGAGCGCCTGTTGTAGCATGGAGTCGTAGAATCGCGCTTGAAGCGTACCAAGAGAAAGAGAAACCGAAAATGCAACTGCGGAAGTAACAACGAGTGTGATCGATCTCAATCTCACCTGCGTGCCCACTTTGAGCGCCTCCAGCGTGGAGTCGTAGAAGCGTTGCTCGAGGACATGGAAGGCCATGACCTGGAGAAGTGCCGCTTTGTTCTTCTTGAGCTTGGAGTATTGGAAGCTGCCCGTGAGCTTGTCAAAGGCACTGTTGCGCGGCACAAACACCGTCAACTTTGACGTTGGCAGGAACTGCTTGAGCGTGTTGTTGAGGCCTGGGGGAGGACGGGAAAGGAAGGTGCGAAGATGAGAGGCGCTTGCTGAACGCACTGTTGCGCGGCAGCAGCACCGTCAACTTCGACGTTGGCAGGAACTCTTTCAGAGTGTTGTTGAGGGCTGGGGATGGGCTGGTTGGGGAATGCGGGAGGAAAGAGAGCGACACCAGCACAGTCAACTGCGAGGCCAGCATTCGAGTCGACTCAAAAGAAACGAGAAAAAGATGGCGAAACACCTCATCTGCGACGTTGACAGGTTCGGCTTGAGTGTGTTGTTGAGAGGTGGGGGAGGGAAGGGGAATGGGGGGGAGAGAGGGGGGGGATGGTGGGGGGAAGGGGAATGGAGGAGGTGCGAGAGACACGGGGCAAGTCAGAAAGAGATGGCGTGAAAACCGTCAACTGCAACGCTGGTAGAAACTTCTTGAGCGTGTTGTTGAGGCCTGTAGGGGGGCGGGAAGGGGTGAGGAGGGGTGGAGGGAGATGGAGGAGGGAGGTGGGGAATTTGAGAGGAAGACGGCACGGGCTCGGTCAACTGGGTAGAAGGCGTCTGGGAGGAAGGCAGGTACTTCAGAGTGTGATCTTAAAGCCTGGTGGGGAGCTGGGAGAGAAGGGGAAGGGGGGCTGACGGAAATGCAGAGAGAGCGAGAGTATGAGGTGGGATAAGCACACATCATTCACCTGGACAAACCTACACGCGTTCTCGCTAGCTCGCATACATTTGTTTCCGTTTTTTTTCTTCTTCTTCTTCTTTTCCGTTCTTTATTATCCCGCTGACAGTCAGATTTGAACAGGATCTCCAGGTTCCTGTCCGTAAATTATAACTTTGTTTCCAGAAAAAGGTGAAAAAAACAAAACAAAACAAAACGAAACAAAACATTGTGCTCTTTGGCTTTCCCTTGTTCACAGCTTTTTGGAAAATGTAACAAACACCGGACGGTGATCGTGAATCGCGACTCACCAGACGTTTGCCACGCGGCGAGGGCGGTGGTGTATTTCTTCCTCGTCAGCTTCGCAACCAACTGCTGATACCCGGTATAAGCTGACGCGACTTGCGTCACGCACAGCAAGCTGACAACAGCAACGAGTAGAAGAGCCACCAGGCCTTTCCCCGATACTCGAGCCATTGAAAGTCTGATTTACATGACGCGGCAAACGGCTGACAGTCTTGATCTAAGAACTTGTAAGAAGCTAAAGCCGAAAAAGAGATTCACAAAAGGTCGTCGAGTCGAGGCAGAGTACTGAGCCGTGAGCCTGGACAATCGACAGCGTCAGAACCTTAAAGTACTCGACAAAAGTTTGCAAAACGATAGGTGAGTGCAATGATATTGGCGGCTGTGGGAGGACGCTGGTCAGTAAATCTCACATGAAGCGACCAGGCAACAGTGGCACGGTCGGCTCGATAGGCAAGCTGGTGGCATGTGCAACAGCAAGGAAATGGTGATCATTCTCTATTTCCTGGTTTGTGGTTGTGATGGGGGGGGGCGAGGTTGTGCAAAATGGTGGGGCTGGTGTGGGAGGGGGCTGATCACCGAACACGGGGGTGGGGTGGCGGAAGGAAAGTACAGTGTAACTGAGTGGGGGGGAGGGGGTGTTAGGGGGAGAACCTGGTTTGGGGGACGAGGAGGGATTGAGTTCAGGGTGGGGGAAGAGGAATGAGAGAGACGCGGGTGGTGCGCGGAATCTTGCCAGATGGGTGAGGGGGATGGGAGCCTGGGAGGGAGGGAGGACCAGTATTGGTGCCGTTCCGTGCGGAACGGTGCATGCATGACTTTTGTCTTGCGCCATCAGCGCACCACATTGCGGGAGCGCCTGCGACACGGTTGACCCCCTGGGGCGTTCGGCTTCAGCGTCGGCGTGTCGCCAGCCTTGGTTGTCGGTGACATTTGACCAGGCTGGGATGGGAATGTGTATATTTTACTGTACCCATGTATTCTCAACACGGCACGCTTATTTCTGTAAAAACCAACGCAAGTGGATGAAGTGCATTCGACACTTAACAACTTTACATCCACTTCATAAAGGAGAATTTTACCTATAAATTTATCTTCCCAGAAAACAATGGCAGGCCATGTGACAGCAGCGACTCTGGTTTCGTGTAACCCACCACCAAGTCAACAGGGCAGCCAAGTGCTTTGCGGAAGCACTGTGTTGAAAGACAACAGGGCAGGCAGTGGAGCAGGGGGAGCATCACCCAGGTGGCGAGGTCCTGCCCCCTGTTGTGGAGCTGGGGGCCTGCTCGCAAGCATTTCAATGGGAAGCTGCTCGGCTAGTGGCTGCCCACTCAGGTCGCAACTCTCTTGAGGCCAAGGGGGACGACATCATGGTGGAGGCCCTCCAGGGGCAGCAACACCGGCATCAGCAGGACAGGTTGCCTTCACGGCAGCAGGAGCAGCCAGGGAAGAAGCAGGAACCGCAGCCAGGGGAGCAGCAGGACGTGCAGTTAGGGGACCAGCAGGACATGCAGTTGGGGGAGCAGCATAACCTGCCGTTGGGGGAGCAGCAGGACCTGCGGTTGGGGGACCAGCAGGACCTGCAGTTGGGGGACCAGCAGGACCTGCAGTTGGGGGGTCAACAGGAGTTGCGTTTAGGGGTGCAGCGGGGGCAGCAGCATGGGGAGAAGTGGGGGCGACACTCGGGGATGCAGCAGGGGCAGCAGTTGAGCACCTGGGTGGGTGAGACACCGAGAGATGAAGTCATGGGTGAAATAAGCCCGCTTCAAGGGGAGCGGCAGGATGTGGCGGCGGATGTGGTGCCTGTAGCGCGGCTTCTAGGTCATGGAGGGGAACACCGACAGGATCCTGCTAGTCCTCCTGGGGAGCTGCTGGTAGGGCAAAATGATGGGCAGCAGATGGGGGAAACTGAAGGAGACCGTCTCACTCCTAGTGACGCCACAGATTTTACTTGGCGAGTTAGGAGCCAAGACTAGGATCGTTCCGTCGGGCTCGGAGCAAGGAATCCGTGGCACTTTGAATCTCTGTAATCGCCTGAGAATTGAAAGAGATACTTCTTATAATGCAAGGATGGGTACAAGTGACAAGTTTGAAGTTAACTCTCTGGAATTCGCTCTCTGGTTTTATAGCTAAAACATGCAAGCACAATTGTAACATCGAGCCGCGCGCGACTCGCCAGAAATTCGGACTCAGGATCGCGTCCAATTTCAGCGACGTCCGCGTTCACAATTTCGGACTTTGCCGGGTTCGTTTCTTCACGCCGACAATAGTGAGTTACAAGGGACAATAGCGAGTGTAGAAAAATGTTCGTAACATTCGCTTGCACTCTTGCAATTTTCGTGCATGCTTGTGGGGCTGCCAAGTGTCGCCCCCACAAATATTCGGACCCAACTGGGGGCGAACTTGGTTGAGTGTCGACGCGGGCAATCCGCCGTCACCCCTCATTCCTAGAAAGAACCCTCCCTTGGTCCGAGTCAAGGGAGGTCTTCGCGTGGGGGGCAATCTCTCCCCCACAATTCCAACACTCCCCCTTGCACCCCACGCACAACTAAGCATGCAAGCCTACCCTAGCACAACATGCATAAAGGGCATCTCTAGGCAATGGCTTGGTGAGGAAGTCCGCAGGTTGCATGTTGGTTTCGATGTAACGAAGCTCGACTTCGTTGTCTTCAACGAGCTTGCGAATGAAGTGATGGCGGATTTGGATGTGCTTGGTCCTTCCGCGGAGGACCGAGTTCTTGGCTAGGCCAATGGCGGCTTGGTTGTCCACGTAGATGGGAGTGGGGCCTTCTTGTTGATGCCCAAGCTCGGCAAGAAGGCGCCTTAGCCAAACCGCTTCCGTACCACCACGAGTGAGCGCCACGTATTCCGCTTCGGTGGAGCTAAGTGCAATCAAGTTTTGGCGCTTGCTTTGCCAACTTATTGCACCTCCCACGTGTTGGAGGTTGCGTGAGGCAAGGATTGCCCCCAACCACTGAAAGTGTTCCTTCTAGTGCTCACGGTTGAGTGAGCTGCAAGTTGGAAGTTTCATGAATGTGTTGCAGGTTCCAAGAAGTATGGGTTGACTTCGGAAGAACCTGCACTTCGGTGCCACATGGCAGCACAAGAAGAATCGAGACTAAAGGAGGAAGAATCGAGACTAAAGGAGAATTCGATTTGGTGAAATTTGAGTTTCGAATTTCACCCCTTCGAAATGTTACTCGAACATTCGAGAGTGTAGCGACTCGAGGTTACATGTGCGACTCGATGCATTGCAGTTCATATAAATTTGTTTGCTTTGTATTGCATGGTATATACTGAAATTGAGAATCACTTTGTATGTGATACATTCGACTACAAAATCCAGAGAGTTCCTCTCCTTGATTCCAAGAGCACTACCTAGCACATAAACGCCTACATCTCGCTCGATACGTAGGCGATCGAGGTGATCTATGGCCTGTTGGAAAGCTAAGACAGAGCTCTACTGATTAGTACGAATCCCAGTTCCTGCAAAGTAGAGGAGAAGCCTCTACAACAGTGGTATCAGAGCTGGTCGGAGGAGTCTACGCGCGCAACAAGAAGCTAGCATGTCGACGGCAAGCGAGGCCTCTCGCACTTCCTTGGATGGTGTCGTTGTCAATTCCGGCGAACCCTGGGCAACTGCGACGATGTTCGACATGTCGGCGGTACCGATTTTCACGGGACAAAACTACTCCGTGTGGAAGTTGAAGTTCCAAGTGCTCATGATGGAGCGGGGACTTTGGGGTTTCTTCGATGGAACGGAGAAGAAGCCGGACAACGAGAGCGGCATCGCGGCATGGAAGAAGAAGGACCAAAAGGCGTTCGCTACGTTGATTTCGCGCATCGGCATCAATCTCGTGAGCTCGGTGCGCATGTGCATCAAGCTCGAAGCGTCGGCGCATGAAGCGTGGAAGCGGCTCGAGACGATGCACGTGAACAAGACTCTCCACGGCAAGATCCTAGCCCGAAATGCATTCTACCCGGTGAAGATGCGCGCGGGCGAATCGATGCACGAGTATGCGACTCGTGTGGAGGAACTTGGGGAAACGTTCATGGACCTCGGTGGAACGGTCACGGAGGAGGATTGGATTTTGACCTTGCTATGCGGCCTTCCGGAAGAGTGGTCGACGGTGATTACGACACTCGATAGCGTGCAAGACACTTGGACGAAGGAAATGGTGGTCGGTCGGCTTCTCCATGAAGAATCGCGTCTCCGACAATTCGCTAATGAGAGCGAGGGTGCCGCCATGTTCTCCGGGGGGAGTTCCGGAAAGAAGTCCACGTGGAGCAAGAGTGCGACGAAGAAGTCGTTCGGTGGAAGCGATCGCGGCAAGAGAAACACATTGAATGGCTCGAGCTGTTGGACCCGGCTCTTGAAGGCTAAGGGAGATGTGACCAAGGCGATTCAAGAGTGGGCGCTTGAAGTTTGCGACGACGACAAGAAGCGGATCAAGGCTATTCGCACCGACGGTGGCGGCGAATTCGTGAACGCGGAGCTTGAGAAATGGATGAAGAGCAAGGGCATTAAGCACGACGTCACAACACCCTACACACCCCAACACAATGGAGCGGCGGAGCGGCTTAATCGCACGTTGGTGGAAGCCGTTCGTTCACTTCTTCAACACTCCAAGCTTGGGAACGAGTGGTGGGGAGAAGCGAGTGCGCTAGCGGCATGGATTCGTAATCGTGTGCCGACAAAGGTGCTACCGGGAACGACTCCATTCGAAGCATGGACCGGAACGAAGCCGAACCTATCCCGCCTACGCACCTTTGGGTGCCTTTGCTACTACCATGTACCGGATCCCCTTCGCCACAAGTTGCAACCGAAAGCTCGTGCGGCAATCTACTTGGGAATTGCGGCGAACGAGTGCGCGTGGCGAGTGTGGGACTTGGGTGAAAGGCGCGTCATCACGTCTCGGGACGTGGTCTTCGACGAAGACAAGTTCCCGACGAAGGAACAACCAACCCCGCAACTCACCGTCGTCCTTCCCGCACGAGAGGAGGATGAATCGATGGAGGTTCCATCACAAGTGGAAAAGGAAGCCGAAAATGGAGGGGGAGAGAACGAGGAGAGCGATGACAACGTGGTGGAAGTGCCATCAACCGCGGCGGCAACTTCCTCAACACCTTCCTCCCTCCCATTGGTGTTGACCCGCGAGCAACGTATACGTTGC